TCGTGCAGCGACTGCCTCTACTCTCTGTCTCACTCTCTCTCTCTCTCTTTCTTCTTCCCTTCACAGCTGCCCCAACAACAGATCGTTACCAGGTAGCCGAATCCATTCGAAACGCTCGTAAATAATGGCAATTGAATGAATACTTCCTGAATTACGGCACAGAGCATTACGTAAGATCACAGATCTGGCAGGGATATGACAGATATGAGATATCTGTGAGTCGAACAACGATTATTTCACAATTATGTTAAGTTCATTCGCCGTTAAATAACCCACTTAGCATCTGAAAAGCCCCCATAAAGTCCACTTGCAACTGTCAATCACTAATGGTTCCATCAGCTGTTTTTTTGTTTTGCACAGATTTGGCATTGAACCAGCTCTATATGATTTATGACTACATCAATTATGTTCTAAAATATTTAGGAAAAAACTACTCGATCATCTTGACATATTTCTAAAGATAAGAACAATATCATAATTGTAATAAATATAAAATAACAAAAGTTGTTCAAAATATTTTTTCTGTTTCTCAATTAAATATTAATATTTAAAAAATAATTTCTTTTAATTCAATATTTGTTTTATTTATTAACAACTCTAAGCTGGCTTAACATGTACAAATATATATATATATATATATATATATATATATATATATATATATATATATATATATTTAATTTTAAGAAATTAATAAAAAAACTTTTTCAGTTTTTTAAAATTATTTTTATTAATAATATTATTTTTTTTTATTTAAAAATTCTTACAGAGCTTGATCCGTTTTTATATTTATATTACATTTAAGGTTTAGATACATTTCGTTTTATTTATGTTTCTTAACGATTAAATAATATATTTTTAAATTTTTAATTAATTTTGATAAATTTTTAATTAATTTTGATTTAAATAATTTGATAATATTTGGCTTATCCATTTATTTTATATTATTAATGAAAAAGCTTTTAAATTTTTAAATGTAAATGAACTGTATTTTTTTTTTATATAAGTTTTTATTAAATGTTATTATATTATTTAGGCATTGATTTTTTGACAAATTTGTACAACTGAGCATAACTAATTTTTAAAAATTCTTAAAAATGCTTTAATTAAAAGAGAGCTAAAATATTTCATACGATTCTTTCTCTCTCCTCTCTCCATGTTCCTCTCTCTATCTCTCTCACCTAACCCTCTACTTGATTTTATGCTACTCAAACTTAACATTAACTAACTTTAACGTAAATTAATTTAACGTAAGCCTATCCGAACCTTTCTAAATCCACTTTACGTTAGCCTTACCTAGCCTGACATAATTCTTATAATTTCTTAACTTCAGCTTACGTCAACTAACCTTGACCTAACCTAACGCTACTTAAGCTAACCTAAGTTAACTTTAACTTACTTAGTTTTAAACTAGCTCAACTTAGCGCAAACTGACCTAACCTAACCTAACCTAACCGAACCTAACCTAACATATCTGAACTTAAATTGTCATAAGCTTAATTTAACCTTGTTAAACTTAATCTAAGCAAATTTCACCTAACTTACCTTATTATTTATTTCTAAACTTATTTCTAAACCAGCCTAACTTAGCATTTAGCTTAGCTCAATTTAATTGAAGCTAGACCTAACCTTACTCAAGCTAATCTAACCTAACCTTACTTTAGGCTACACCAAAATTCCTGTAATAAGAAGCCATTTAAGCTATGCTATTGAATTTTTGTAATATATTACTTCTGCGTGTGTGGTAATATATTGATTAATTGCACTGGCTCAATTGAGAATCGCACACGCATATTAAAATATATAGACATACATATATATATATAAATATATAGAGGAATATTTACATCTGACCAAATATATATACACATATATATATAAACCTATATCGTTTCTTAATTAGCCAATAAAATCGAATCATTTCGACTTAGTCACTGATGTGTGGAGCATTAAAATTATTTTTGTAAGCATTTGTCACCCAATTAAATTGACTGCAGCTCAAGCAATGCGAGTGCAGTGCAGTGCAGTGCTCAGAGTTCGCCCAGACTTTTTATTAATGATGAGTGAAAATTGTAAATGAAAATATTTTAATTCAGTGGCAGCCGCTGCGCCCCCCTCCGCTAGCTAAGCAGCGCCCCATTGGCGACGCCACTGCGCGCAATTGATTAATCATATGCGAAATGCTATAGACAGCCAACTAAAATGACTCAGTACAGAGCACTACATAAATATATATACCTATGTATACATATAGATATTTTTTAAAATTTATTAAAGACAAGCAAAAAGTATTTTTAAAGCATATATCATACTCCAAAATGAATGTGCAGGTAAAAGAGGCTAGCATGCTAGAGCAGATACATAGGCGTATATATAGTATATATATATATACATTCAGGTCAAATCATATCCTTTATGCCTGCCATACTCAGGCCATGTGTTAAGCTGTCCCAAAAAGCAAACTGAATATAAACAACAACAGTTCATATACTCTGACTATATACTAACTAGCCCTATGCGTGTCTGTGTGTCTGAGTCTGTGTGTGTATGTGTGTGTGTATCTACTAAATCTAAAAAACATTCATATGCGTTTAATATAGCTGCTGCTTTGGTCTAAATTTAAAACAAAAGCTATTTAGTTGCGAAGAAGCGTAGAACTTCAACACAAATGAAATTTTTTGCTTTCGACTGTGCAGCCGTATCTCGTGGCTATTTCAAAATATATATATCTAGACGAATATCTAAAATTTACTAGCTAGACAGAGAAGGGGAGATGGCGAAAGAGAGAGAGGAGAGAGTATGAGACAGAGATAGCTGGGCCAAGAAATCTGCGGCTGTGTCCTGAGCAAAGCATACGCCGTGTGGTACGTCGAAAGAAAAAAGAAAAAAAAAGTATCTCACAGATACATTCAGCTCTGTATCTGTATCTGTATCTGTCGCTAGTAAAGCAAAACTCTTGCGGCAGTCAGCCAGAGCCTCACAGTCACATCCACACTCACATGTCCACACTCACGTCCACACTCGCGTCCCGTTTCTGTAGCGCTGTGTTCGACTCTTCTTCACTTTTTTTTCATCTATCTCGCAAAATGTTTCAATTTATCTATTTTTAGTCGCAAGTTTCTTTTTGTTTATTAGTTTTTGTGCCTTTTGCTCTGCGCGCATGTATTAGTGCAGTATATAGTCGATATATATGTATTTGTATAGCAGTGGGTCGCACTCGATTCGACTGATGTTTCGCCCCTGCCTCTCGCTCTGCCCCCTGCTCCGATTGAACGTCACAACTGTGGAATGCTTTGGCTGTGGCTCTTCTACTGGATACGCACACATTGTTTTAGCTTGTCTTTCATTTGTGTTTTTCACCCACAATTGTTTTTGCTGTAGAGCTCAAGGTATATCTAAATACAGGCTCTCTATATATGCCATATAGATATGCATATATATCAGGCATTCGATCAGAGCGAACAGAGCGCTAAGGTCAAAACATTTTGAGGCAAAGGTGTCATAATATATACATACAGTTATACACATACATACAGTTATACATCCATATAATGCATATATAAACATATTTATATAAGCAAATATATAATTGTCTTTACGTAAGCTGGATCTATATAGATCAGCTCTATTAGATCAGCTAAAAGTAAAGCGAAATATCTAAAAACAAGCAGAAATATTGCAGTCGGGCGCTGCTGACTGCATAATACTCGTTCACAGTAAAATCTTTGCTTGCAAGTCTCAAGAGAGAGTCTGTAGATAGATGTGTATAGATAGATATACTATATATTTTTGATCTAGGGTATGCTTTTACTGGTTTATATTCCAATGAGTAGATGTTTCACATTTCAAGTTATTTAGCAGCGGATAGATGAACGGAGATTGCACAAAACCTATATACTCGCTTCACTTCGTGGCAGAGTATTTATATATAAATGTTTTACAATCTATCACACATGCGAGATAACCAACTGTGATAGATTTTTCTGATATTACTTGAATAGACAATTAGCTGAGGCTATAACTGCAGCTTCACTGAATCAGGAAAATTACTTAAAACCAGAAAACGCTTAAGCCTAATCAAAGGTATTTAAATTATTATTATTCTACGTTTCTCTACGCCTATCAAATTTTCCATTGTCAAATACATATCAACATATATATATATATATATATATATATATATAAAGAACTTTGTTATACGCACCATAAACAATTACAGAGAATATGTTTTGGTAATTTAACGCCCAAAGCAATGAAAATCTAACCAATCTATCTAACATATCTGACAAACAAGGCCATAATCCGAATGAGCTGTACAAATGTTTTTTTGATACGCCGATTTATATAGTTACAGTTGCATTTAGCTGCGAATATCTGGCCCTAGCACCTGGAGACCTTATCGTTACACTTAGAGAAATATAAACAGCTAAATATAAACACAGAAAAAATTTGATTGATATCAAATTAAGCATAAAAATTAATAAATAAAAAAAAAAATTTTAAAATTACAAATAATTTTAAAAATTAATATTAGTTTTAAAGACAAAAATTAAAATTAAATTTTTTTTGTATACCACTATCAATTAATATTAATTAAAAATAAAAAATTAAATCATAACAATTATATTAAATTATTTATTTATATTTAAAATAAAACAATTAGTAATATTTTTATTTATATTAAAAATTGTTCTATTTTAAATATAAAAAAATAATTTAATATAATTGGTATGATTTAATTTTGTTATTTTTAATTATATTTTTTACAACATTTTATATATTTTATTTTGATAATCCAAATTGGGAATTTAATAACAAAACAACTGTTAGTCGTCTTTCTCTCAGTGTATTACACTTTACTACGTGGCATAAATCAATATTAGCTTATCATGACCAACTGTGAGAATATATGCAGCAGGCCTAGCAAAGATATTGCGGATATATCAGGGTCTGCAGTTATTCTAGACGAGACATTGACATTCACTTGCTTTTCACTTTTGCTAGCGTTCGATCATGGGCTACTGGCTGGAGCTGCGCGCCTGGCTCCTGCGCGATCCTGCGAAACTTATACGCTATCTCGTTCTGTTCATCTGCAGCATCATTGTGATCGTGCAGCTATACGAGTGCTTCTCAAAACTATCCGACCCGCCTATATCCACGCATTCCTATTATAATGTGAATCAAACGATTGAAATGCCTGCCGTAACGCTGTGTCGTGAGCCGCCCTACAGAGAGGAAGTCTTAACAGTGAGTTGTGTGTGTGTGTGTGTGTGATTGTGTGTGTGTTTGAGAGAGAATATATATTCGAGAAGTAAAAGGAAGCAAAGTAAGAATTTGATAACTGCAATAAAAACTGTTATCGATTTGCATAAATGCTATCGATAAGCAATCTGCCGATAATTGGATTTTGATAACAAAATTTCTGACTTGCAGAATCTATCGCGCGGTCACTGTCCGCATCCAAAGTATGCCACATGTTGGATGGATTATCCCTTTGGCGAATTATCCTTCGAGGAGTTCTTCAACAGTGGCACTTTCGGCCAGGAGGAGACCTTCTACTCCTATGGACTCAATGGCGATAAGTCTAGTAGGCGCACATATATATTCTCCATACATAGATATACCCAACTGATATTTCTACAGATGTTGCCATCGATAGCACCGTTCACTTTTATATGGGTCGCTGTTATACGGTGCGTCCACTCATGGACCTGAAAAGGGTATCCAAGTCGGTTGGCTATTCCCTAATGCTGGAGCACAATATTGTTAAATCCGCCAGCGATGTGGACCTAACATCTGGTGCGGGCTGGCATATCTTTCTGCACGATAAGCGTGAAAATTTTACGGGTAGGAATTGAATATTCAGTAACTACTTAGAGTAGCTCATTGATGTCACTTCCTATAGAGGTCAACATGAAGGGCTCGGGACGCGTCGAATATGTCTTTGCGGGCATCAATGAGGAGATTGAGATAAAGCTACAAAGTCAATACTTCTCGAATGTGGAAACGTACAAGGAGACCTGTTCGAGACAGGAGGGCTACAGCGATCTAAAGGTATGTGAGTGAGATACCCTGTAATTCAGTTAAATGTATCCATTCTCATTTCAGTGTGGCGAGATATGCATCTGGCAGGACTTATCGGATGAGGTGGACTGCTCGGGTCCTTGGATGCATGACATAAATTATGAGCCCTGCAACGATACCGACTCCATGCGAAATCTGATCAAGAGCTACAAAGCGTAAGGCACAGTCTCCAATCGAATTCTCTTTGATATTCGAGCTCATTTTTACAGGGTATACGAAAGCGGCGATGACTACGACTGCAATTGCATGGAGCCCTGCGAGTCGCGCATCTTTACAACCTACATACAGAGCAGGAAAACCTTTTACCAACCCGAACCACGGACACTACTCTACATATACTACACGACCAAGCTGATATCGGTAATTGTTTTAGTACATTATAGCCAATAAGAAGTACATTTAGCTCAGTTATCTAATCCAATTCCACATTGCACATAAATTTCTAATTAGATTAACGGCCTGACAAACAAAAGTCAATTAACTAGATTCAATTATGATTTATTGTTGCTATGACCTCTGCATATTAACTATAGAAATCGATGTGAGTGTCGGCTTATTTAATATAACTCGAGCACTTTAGGCACTAGGCATAGCAAATTTGGTATGTAAGTTGTTAGAAAGCATATCTATGCAAAAATGATTTCTTTTTTGGATACCCCTTTAAGATTTCCAATTTCAGTATAACTCGCGAACTTTAAGACATAGAGTCAATAAATTTGGTATGTAGGCAGGTATAGGGTATGTACCCATAAAAAGCTGTTCATGGTTTTGAATAATCTTGCCAGATTTTCAATTTAGTTTTTTAAATAAAATTCGAGAATTATTGTAGCTGTTAATATATAATTAATTTATAGAAATTTGTGTATTTTATATACGACTCAGAAATATTGCACTTTTAAGATATCTCTTCTTTCTTAACTTAAGAACTTGTGCTCGAAAACTTTAAAAGCTACACATATAAAATTTAATATATAGGTAAAGTCCATACATATAACAAATCTTAAGTTCTTTTAATACGTAACACAAGAAAACAGTTTGAAGTCAGGGTATTTGACAGCAGAGCACACCCCACTTAAATACTCAGCTCTTCTTTTATACCTTTGCGACTTTGCGCTCTGTTTCAGCAGATGATTGAGGAGCGTCCCAGCTATGACACAACCCAATTTATAGCTGATGTTGGCGGTTCCCTGGGCTTTCTGCTTGGTCTCTCCGTGCTGGGCATCATAGGCATATTGGAGCATGTAAATATGGCCAGGAATATGGAAAGATTACGATTAAAACTTCGTTTTGATTGCAGTTAACGTTATTCTTTTGCGGCGATTGCATACGTCGAATGCAGCTGAAAAATGAGGAGCACAGTCGCTCCGACAGTCGCACCGACAGCCCGGAGGATGGGGAGTCCCAAGCGAGTGACGTGACGCTGGACATCAATGATGTGTTTACTGTAGAGAAAGCCAAGCTGGCCAAATACTGAGCAGTTGGATAACCTTTGTCTAAATAAAACTCTTATATTTATTCACAAAACCTAAAAACTAGAAAACTACATTTAATTGGGAATATTTGTTCTGGTATATACAAAGTTCCGGCTCTTAGAGCAGCCAGGAGCAGGTTAACAGCAGAGCGCCCAGACTCAGTGTCAGAGCAGTAGCAGCGGAGTTGGAATCCTTAGCTGTTGTTGTCTCTAGCTGGATATTCGTTCTGAGCACCTCGCCCAGCTTGCCAATGAGCTCTGGCAGGGACTTGTCCGGCGCGCAGGTTGTATGCTCTAGGGCATCCTTTACATGCGCCATGTAAATGCGGAAATTGATGCTGCCAGGATAGAGTTCATCGTAGATAAAGTTCTGCAGCTGATTGGCCAGCACCCAGAGGCGTCGCTCCTCATCCACCTTGATATCGCTGGGAAAGACGAAACTGTTGTTGTTGCTATAGACACGATCCTGCACGTTGTAGCTCTTCGAAGTTTGCCAGCAGCCGAGCGAGTTCAGATTGGGCAGCGTATAGAACAAAACGCCAGTGTCAGCATCCAGGAACTGAGCACCTGCCTGGGCATCCATGCCACGACTGCCCAAGATCTTGAAGTCTCTGTAAATAGCAGCTGAGGTGGCCAACGTTTTGTTCCTTAGCACCGAGGTCTTCACCGAGAACTCCATGGTGGAGCTAAGCGGATGGAAATACAATGTGGAGTAGCCATCGCTCTGTGGCTTGGACAAAGCTAGTCCATAAAGTCCATCGTCCCATTGGAACTCAATGCCATTGATGCTGAAGTTACCCGCCAACGGATCGGGATGAAAGAAGTGATGCTGCACACGCCACGATTCCTGATCCCGCCACGAATAAACCACCAGACCAGGACTACCCAAGTCGGCCGCATAGGCATAGGTATTCTCACAATCCGCATCCTCGATAGCCAAATTGGCAAAGAAGGAGCTGTGCTTGGCCTGACTCGCGGGCAGAACGTGACGACGCAGCAGATCATCGTTGTGCAGATCGTAGATCAAGAGCTGTGCCGGCCCATACAGCTTCGTCTGCTCCAGCACGCCCGCGATGCGAGAGTCCAGCACCCAAAGGCGACCACAGCGATCCGCCTTGATCCTAAACGGCGAGACCAGCTCCGGATCTGCATCGCTCAAGCTATGCGACACCCAACTAGGAAAAGGTCGCAGCGCTGGCATTTTGCTGGAGGTGTCTGAAAAGGCAGAAAGCAGGGTATATTAATAGGGCATCCATAGGGAAGAGGCTATATCAGCAATGAGAGAGGCTATATCAAAAAGGTATATATATATTTTTCTAAATATGCACAGCAATTAACTTCTCTTTAAAGCGAAAGATATTTTCACTTGTGTGAAATTACAGGGTATATCAGCACCCTCCAGTGAAAGGCTAATTTAGTATTTATAACTCATGAAGTGCAAGTTGAATGCTCTATAAATTGCTTTGACTTGTTTTGCATCGATGCTAATTGTGATTCGTGTGGTTCAATGTCTGAGAGGCTGATTCATAGGACACGTTTGTCAGCTGAGCAGTTTCTATATATGGAACGCATTTGTTGAACAACTTGTAGTACCCTATATGCAAATAACGGTCTCTATAAGGCGTATGCACTTCAGCTTAGTCCCAATGAAACTAAGTCGAAACGTAGTGAGGTAACCAGAAATACAACAATGAAAGGTTTCTTTGAGAAGTTGCCTCAAAATTTATAACGGTAACTGGTTTGAGCCACCGAATTCTATTTCATTTGTTAAATAAAAATTTTGTTTTTTTAAGAAATGTTTTATCTGCGCAAGAAAATACCTAATTTCCTGTACAATGTTTTTCTTTACCTAGCCAACCGACTGTTTTTAGCAGTAAACAAATTAAGCTTCCGCTCAACTATTTCCATAGAAACTCTACAATAAAGTCGACAGATGTTGAGTAGATATAGCAATAGAGCGAGATATGTAGAAAGCTAGATGGATGGTTATAGATAAATATAATTAGCTAGAGCTGTTTATATATATTTAAAGATACATAGTGCTAGGCAGAGGCTTTTCATATTAGGACTTCGTTTTCTACAGATAAATCTACTATATATTTCAGTCATATACAGATCTAGAATATATATGCTTTATCTGCTCACAGCTGGCTAATGCTATGCACTATAAATTTCGTAAATTCAAATAAATATTTTCTCACACTCAGAATCGAGGTATGTGAATTTACCTTTTCAATTCGATCAGACCTATTGAATATAAATACATATAAAAAAAAAAATATATATATATATATAGCTATCTACACATGCTGTTCATATTTACGATGCGTCAAGAGAATAAATATTTCCTACCAAATGTTTATCCTATAGATATATATGTATGTATGAGCATATATATAGGTATATGTCTTCCATATATATATATATATATAGCTACGATCTATGTAGCTTTCCATATTATTTTGCATTTGTTTATTTACTCAATTCCAACGATTCATTTATTTTGTTTATTATGTTGTTTGTTGTTGTTGTGGTTGTGGTTGTTGCTGCTGCTGTTTGTTGTTGTTTTACAGCTTTTTAATTACGCAAGCGGTGCGAAAATCTCAGAACCCTCAACAACCCTCAGGCAATTAATTGCAACAAATGCGAAATGCAAGAAAACTAAATTGTCTAGAACGTGTCATGAATAGAGCTGATAGCGTGACACGAACACGCTGTATACGATATATAAAAATTATATAATGAAGTGCACTAGGCCAAGTTCATAGTTAAAAGTTTTACGCAGTAAATACAGTGGATATATGTGAGAGAGTTCGAGCTTGGAGATCCCATATCTGAGAATTTGAAGTATATAGTTTTCGATTTATCTTGTCGATAATAGCATATACAAGCCTCTATCAGTATCATCATAACATTAGACCCAACCAATATACTATTTTTCATGTCGTAAGTAATTTTAGAAAATAAGTTAGCTCTCCTTATAAATAGCTACAACTTTAGCTACACCTATTCGAATAGTTCTTTCATCTCTATCAAATCAACTATGCAAATTTAAGTAACAATAGTCGAACAGCTCCCACGCATAAAGACAATGCATTAGCTGAGATTTCAGTGCAGAGCAATTCGCGCATAAACAAAGCCGCAATTTGATGTAAATGAAAGTGGGTCTAGACGCGGGGTAGAAGTGGTTCCTGCTTTGGTACTTACCATTAAGATCAAGGTAGGCCAATGAGGCGGGCACACCGTCTCGCCATCTGGGCAGCGTTACGAACAATCGCTGGCGATAGACCTCCAATCCAAAGGGTATTACGTTAGCCGGCTTGAAGGCCCCGCGCTCGATAGCCGACCACCGCTGATCGGGTGAGTCATATTGGAAATCCATTTCCCGCCACTCGTAGGCAACGCGTAGATTGTCTTTGGCCACAGCCACGCCCACGCACAAGAGTACGCCCACAATAATGCAGGCAGCGTTCATATTGAAAGCTGCAAAAATATTATACAAATTTTATAAACCAAATCAATCTCAAGACTTCCGACCTTCGCATAGCCATAAAGCAACTGGCTCGAAATGAATTGCTCTTGACAGAGACTCGAGTTAAGTGAAGCCCCGCAGAGAACCAAACTGACTGAAATCGAGCTGGAGCTCGAGCTCGAATTCGAAGTCGAATTCGTAGCCAAAGCCGCGCCTCCACTAAGCAAAAAGTCAATTTGAAAGTTGTCTTTCTGGCTTGGCTAACAATTTGTAAAGACTCTTAGACTAATGTTGAGTTCGGCATATTGGAACATGTTCAAGGGGTTGTCACTCGACATACCCTGTAATTATTAATTCTTAATATTACAAATATATATATATATAGTTTCGCAAAATGAATACTAATTTTAGAGATTTTAGCATTGGACTAAATTATAGAAAAATATAAAAAAAAAGTTATTTCAAAACTTTAATTTTATTTTATTTAAAAAAAAACATTTCTAATTTAATTTTATATTCCTTTTTATATATCTTTCACACTATTTTTATTTTATAAAATTCATTTTATTATAAATTAATTTTTTTTTCGTTAGGTTGCTTAAATTTCGAACTTCCCTCGCACTTATTCATGTAACAAGTTTATGAATCATTATCAAGTTAATTGCAGCTAAGCAAGAGAGTAAAATTGCATTAAAATAGTCTTTCGCTTGAACCCTATTTATAACACTGACTATAGAAGACTTGAATTGAAATCTTTTATATATATTAAAAATACAAGGCTTAAATCACATTGGCTATATAGAATTTAGATATAATACACATCAAGTAATATCAATGAAAAGTTTTCAATCTCAACGTGAAGAAATAAAAACAATGTGAGTATTAAGTAAGTTTATTTATAGATTGGAAAATTTAATAGATTCAATCTAAACAATATGCTTTTAAGCTGAAGATGTATATTTGCTTATTTATAGTATTTAAAAGTCATTAGCATGAATCACTTCTAATAATGTCATATATAAGACAGCTCAATTTTCAAGTTGTAGATAGACCACTTTGAAGATATTTAGTTAAAGAAACTCCATTGAATTTCAAATACAAATATTTACTGAGCACTTATTGTTGAAACTTAAAAGCATAACTAACTTTTATATATTATAGCTTATAAGCAGCTCAAGTTCCAAAGTACTCCAAGCTTAGTGCTATATATTAAATTCTGCCCTGGACCAACTCAAGAAATGACATTTTAATTATACTCCTCAAGAAAGATTCATTAAGAGAACTCCGCTTTTTAACAGTTTTAAAGATTGAAATCATTGTTCTACATAGATCTCACACTCAAAGCTAATGTATTAAAACACACTCAAAAGATATATAGCTTAGATAGCTTCAATTCGTGTCATTTTTTGGGTCAATCGGAACTTCAGGGCCAACAGAAATGAAAAACAAAACAAAAACAAAAATCATTCAATGGATGATGAGATGAGTGTCGCGGCTGCTGTCCATCACTCGAGTCATGGTCGCTATATAGCTGTATGACTGTACTTGGGAGCAATAAAATATTGTTTTTCTCTCTCTCTCTCTCTCTATCTCTCATGAATTGCGCGTTCTGTTCGGCTGTCTTATGTCTTTTTTTTTTTGTATATAATTTATTACAAGAATTTTTTTTTTATTTTTTGCGAGTTTTGTTTTATGGCTTGTTCGCTTTTTGGGACTTTTGGCTGCGGATCACTTGAGATACTTGTTTTGAGGCTTAGAAAATTTCAAGTTTTTGACCAAATTTCTGCACTCAAGCGAAGAGACATAAATAATATTTTTTTGATTTTTTAGCTGTTTTTTTATTTTTAGCTCTATTTAGTTTGTAACTAATTATTTAGTTCATTATCTAATATGTGGTGTTAGTTCATGCACCAGCGACAATCGAAAGTAAAGGCGATGGAAGGGGGCGTGGCATAGTTATGCAAACGCTTTTTATCGCACATTCACCAGCCAAGTTTGTGCCTTAAGTCTTTTGTTTAGTCAGCTATTTTTCGATATTTGTTGCCGAAGCCGAAAGTTAGCCAAGTATTATTTAACTAGTTTAGCTGTTTGGACTAATGCAGTAATTTATGCACACACATGCACACACTTACACACACCTTTAAATTTGTCGCACAACAAGAAATACAACCGGCAGCCACGAAGCTCGCAACGAAACTGAAAGCCAAACGAGACAACATCCACGATTAAGAGCCGACTAATGCTTGAGCCGGGGAACGCATGGAACTGTGATTGAAGCAGCCTATGCGCGCGCGTCGTGTTTGGAATTCCAGTGAACTTGAATTAGTCAGACAGCCCATCAAATATTACGTATAGCTCATGCAGACCTAGACTTGCCCTCAACATAACAAATTAACAGCTGAAACAATTTCAATTAGCCAGCCCACATAGCTCGGCTGATTAAGCCCCTGAAAGAAGTCCCACACATAGGCTTGTCCAACTGCCAGATATATCTTAATCGTATAATTGGGAATTCAGCTTTCCATCGGGAGTCGCCCATGAGTCAAACGATTTTTGGGTTTTACCCAAAAGTAGTTCTTTGATTTGTCATGCTAAGAAATTCGGCTAAGAGTTGATAAGTTTGAAATTGAATTGTTCTAGAAATAATTATCTGGGCTTACTCTGTAATATATTTTTAATTACTGTGATGATCATGATGTCTATTAGCGGAATTCTTTATTGTTCTTTGTGTAGAAATTTACTATAATTAACATTATCAACAGGCACTCACGAAAGTCTTTGTTATCAACAGCATCATTATCATTACCAATATTTTTATCATCAAGAAATATTTACCACAGTTATAATCCGCAAGCAGATCAAGTTAATTCTGTTTTCGGGTCAGCCAAGGTAGACTGAAATTTCAAGCGATTCTATATAAATTTTACTGCTTATAAATTATTCAAAGTTCCCATAAAAACACATTTTAAAATTAATATATATTATACTATATTTTATTTATTAAAATTCAATAAATTAATTTAAATTTAAAAAGAAGAGAACAATCAAAACATTAAACTAGAAATATTATCCGTATGCAATATATATATTTTTTGTTTGCTTTTTGTTTTGTTTAAAAGAGCTTTAAACTATTGCTTATATAACTTTGTTTGTTGTTGCTGTTGTTGTTATGCTTAAAGTATGTTGTGTATGTTTAATTTAATTTACTTTTGTTTTTTTTTTTTTTTTTGTAGAAACATTTCTTGTACAAACACTAAAATGTATTTTTTCTGTTTTCTTTACTCATTTACAACATTAAAAACTTTTAACATACGCATTTTTTTAGTTTTGATTTTATGCATTTGCACTAAATATTAATTTGCATTAGCTAAGTATTTTGTGTAATAAATTGTTTATCGATTGTAATTAGCAAAAAAAAAAAAAAGAAAAAGAAACAAAAACAATTAAAAAATCATTTATAGGCTTCAGTTAAATGCAATGCAATAAAAAACAATTAACGGCTCAAAGCTTGTGAAACATATTCAAGTATTATAAAGAAGATATATATATGTATACATAGTGATATATATATATATATATATATGTATTTGTATAGGATACCTTGAGATTGGCGCACAAAAATCATCTTTGGCAAAGGTTTTAACTAGACTTGTTGATTGTTGAACGCCGCACCGTTTGACTGTTAAAGCACTTATATATATATATATATATATATATATTTATTGATCGATATTTATCGAAATTTGTTATCGACTAAAACATAATTTCAGGAGGAAAGAGTGGGCATCCAAAAATTAGCAAAATTTAATAATCACAATTAACACTAAGAAAACAAAACACAAAACTGCTTTTTGTGCCCTCGTATGAAATGGGCATGGTCATCGTGAACGCCTCCTTTTATGCGTGCGTCTATGATAGAGTAAGTGTATGTATATGTGTGTATGTGGGTGTTTGTAGAGTTATTTAAAAGTATTAGAGCTTAGAGCAAGACAAGGACCGAAAAGTCCAACAGTTGAGTTTAAGGCAACTGTGATGTGCCGATGATAAGTGGGCGGGGGACAGAGTCAACAAAGAGGGCGGGACAGCACATCACCTGCGTCATGAGGGTCTGTGTGTGTGTGTGTGGTGTATATGGATAAGGGGGACATGCTACAAAAACACACACACACACTCGAGAGTATACTTTTAAGATAGCTTTAAGTTTTGGACGCAGGGAACTTTTCGCTCAGCAAAATTGATGTGACACGTTTTCGACTGAGCGCGCAGACAGTTGTTCAAAATAATTTAGTAGGGTATATAGAGTAGTCGGTGTATATATATCTGCGCCTTATTCAGCTACTCGCGTGTCGCCCAGCGCTAAGGACAGACAATTTTGGTGGCTTCACATATAGAGTTATATAAAAACACCTATGAGAAAACGAGTTCGATTTTGTTTCGTACTTCAAACAACGCGTGCAGCTTACATTTACAGTTATTGTATATGATACAATGTTAACAGTTATAGATCAAAAAGAGAAATTAAAATGAAAAGTTGACAACGGCCAGCCGAAGTTTCAAATAGAATTGCAGATGTTTCTAAAGAGATTGAGTTGATTTAGCTAACTCTTATTCTATATAATAAATGGCAGACTAAATATAATAGAATTCATCCTATGGCTGTAAGTTCGGTTATAATATAATATTTTAAAATAAAAATATTATATGATCTTCTGTTTATTCGGTTTATTCTATGAGATTGCAATTACATTTAAATTAATATATATTTTGTTGAACAGAAAAATTTCGTTCTATAACTGAACAACTTAATCGGACTTGACAACTGCATATAGCCTACATAATATAACCTTCATGTAAATTTCAAACTACAAATACAATCTGCAAATCTATAAGTTCCTTTAGAACAACGTAATATGACCGTCACCAAATGGGGAACAATTTTGGAATATAATGAAAAATCAACAAGCTACATTTACTAAAATGAAAGAAAAAGAAGAGACAAAAAACGATTACAAAACGCGTTCAAGAAAAAAGATATTTACAATTGAGATACACGATAGTTCTTGTCAAATATTTAACTAGTAGTTAAGTAATATGTGCGTGTGAGTGTGTGTTTGTGTGTGTATTTAGATAGCCACCATATTGCTTAGGTCTGTCTGTCCCGCATTGAGGTACACTCGTCTGAAGCACGCCGTTCTAACATCGCATAAATGCCAGCGGCCCCACCTAGATGAAAGAGAGTGTGTGGGCGGTGGGCGTGGCATTGGAAAAGGCAATGCGGCGAATATGCCAGACCTGAGAGTCCAACATCAATTTTGCGCTAAACCAGACCAGAGACTAAACGGTACAAATTACCATCGTAACTCTGGAGGCTTTTTCACTTGTCTTACGTTTTATGCTACATATGAATATATATATGTATAAATAGTTACAGGATCACACATATATATATGTTTGCATGTATATAGATATATGTTTTACAAATACAAGTTAGTGTATACAAGGGCTATATGTTAGAGGGGGGGTTGGCGGATGTGTGCTATAAAATTTGACTAGGCCTAGGCTACACTGGGCGAGTATTCCGTTGAGAGCGATTCTGAAAATCATGCCAGAACTCTATAGACGTATACAAATATATACAGAATACCCTGCAATTATATCAAGCTACAAATACAAAAAGAAAAGAGTTTGAGTGAACAACTTAGGAGCTATAAAAATAGTTGAACATGAACCTGATGAGGATCCATTGATAAAGCCTCGGCTTGATTGTTATTAAAACTTGTTTTTAGTTTGCTAGGAAGCTAAAGTTTTTGGAGTCTGTGAACCAATGGAAGAGCGTTACGTTAACAAAGGAACTAACTATGGATTGCTAGATATATAGCTATATATAGATTGAAGCGAACTAGAAATGAATGTACTTACTAACAATGTGCGAAAACGTTTTGCAGAGAACTATTTTATAACTACAGACGATTGTTTGTTGTTGCTTATTAGTACGATACCATAACCGAGAAATATTGTTATGTGTAAATGATGTAATTCAAAAAGAAAAAAATAATGTAGATACCTGAATTGTGGATCGCATTGTTGCCGACCGAAATCGAAATTGAAATCAAAAATAAACTTTGTACATAACTTACGAGTACATTTTTTCTTTGTCAGCTGTAAGTAACGAGTAACGAGTAACGGGTAACGAGTAACGAGTGGATGAAAGACGACTGATATCATTTTTTTTTTTTTGTTTAGGTGTTGAAAGGCGGGGGAAATGGGGATAAGAAGAACATAAATGCAGTTAAAAGAGGCTACATATATTCATATTGTATAACAGTATGTATAACAGTTTGTGGAGCATCGCACATTTGGACAATTAACTAAAAAGCTACGCACAGATAATACAAAGTCGCACAATATTACAATATATGCATATATATTTATATGTATATGTATGTATTTAAATAGATCGCCCGATTCTTACCCGGGGGAGAGGGAGCGTACTGTTTCGTTTCTATCTGAGAATAAAGAGACATGGCAAAACGAGAGAGAGAGAGAGAGAGTTTGTGTGAGTGAGCGAGTATAACAATGGGGCGTATTTGATCTTTTTTTGCCCCTGAACTCTAAAATGTAACGAAAAAAATAATATATATATTATAATGAAAAAATAATGTAAACAAATAAAATATTATTTTAAATATTATATTAGTATGTTAAATATTATGAAATTTGCTCGTTTTGTACAAATACAGTTACAATTATATAACTAGGGAGAGTGTAATATCATATATATAAATATATTTATATATAGAGAGAGTGAGAAAGAGTAAACTAGACGCTACAGCAACAATACAGCAAAGAGAACCGCGTGCCAGCACAAAGAACAAGAGAGATAGAGAGATTAAGAGCGCCAGATGAGAAGCGAGTTGCGATTCATTTAGAACACACATACGGAGTAGTGTTAGTAAATTTAATAGTGTTGTTATGCAAATACACACCAATTTAGTTGATTGAACAGAATGTGGAAAAGTTAAGAATTTAGTCATTGAAAGAAAAGCAAAGTTTAGATGCATTAACTAGGAAATACTCTGGATATATATGTGTAGATGGTATAAAACTATGCATATTGCTGTTAGTGTGTGTGCAACCAGTGAGTGTATGTGTGACACATGTGTATGCGCGTGTATGTTTGTGTGTATGTATCGAGTGTCTCAAAACTGTTATACATTTAAGAAAAAGAGCTTTGTGGAATTGCGTAGCTTGAGTATGAAAACTTGCTTGCAGTTGTTGTGATTGCATTTTGCACTAGTTGTTGATGTTGTTGTTGTCGCAGGATTTAGCGTTTCTGCTGTTGTTAGTTCGTTGATTGGCCACGTCTCAATTTAATCGTGAAACAGCAAGGGCAACGGCAAGCCCACCAACTGTGATGACTGCGTCTGCGCTGGGTGCAGCGTTGGCAATGCAGCTGCTCGCTGAAACGCTCGCAGATTGTGCGGATGCGTCTGTGTTGGCGCCTGCAAGAGTCCTGGCGCAGCGGGCAGGCATCATCTGAAGCGTGGCTGCATCATCTGCAACATATTCGGATGGCCAGGCAACATAACGCCCATGCCCGGCATCGGCATGGCACCTGCGGGCAAGCCAGGCAAACCAATTGCCTGCATGGGTAGTAGACCTGCAAAAATTTATGCAAAATTAACTGAAGATCTTAAATAACAATGACGATGTACTCACCTGCTGGCATGCCAGGCATCGGGCCAGGACGCAACATATTGCCGCCTATCAATGTGCCATGGGGTCCAATGGCAACAGTGCCGGGTCTCAGCATGGGCTGCATCAGCTGCAGGCCGCCAGGCAAGGGCATCTATGCAAATTGATTCGACCAGATGGAAAAGATATATAGAAGAGCATGGAAGAGAGGCAGAATTGAAACAGTTTTAATTGCATTCCCACGGAGGCGGCTTTCGCTTGTCTCAGTGTCTGTGTCTGTGTGTGTGTGTTTTTGTGTGTGTGTATATATATCGAAGCCATTGTACACAAAATTAGCTAAGTTGTTATTAATTATGTTTTCATTGTTTTGGTTTTCTTGTTGGTATTAAGAATATATTAATAAGTTGGTTTTTTCGGTACTTATTTTTTAAATGAATAAAATAGTTGTATGTTCTGTTGTGTGTGTGTGTATTGGTTGTTGTCGAAACTTTTACATCGCATTACAATGTTACAATGAAATATATATAAATATTCATATCTATATATATATATATATAGATAGAGAGAGAGAGAGAGAGACAAATAAAGAGATCAACTTTTCTCCTTACATTGATTTTTTTTTAAATTACAAAAAAAAATTATTTAAAATTAAGATAATTGTTTATGATAGAAAATTAAATTGTTTAAAAAAGAAACGTACTTACAATTCGTAAACTGAACTGACGACGGATGAGTAGGTGGTATATGTAGGGGGCAGGCCGATCTTAACGATCTCAACCTTTAAAAACACTTTTGTAACAATTCTTAAAAAACTATGCGCGCGTCGATTTGTTTAAATATAAAAAGCAACTTAAACCAAGTTAAAATCATAATATTTTTACATATGTTTTATCTTGAGTTACGAGAAAAAAAGAGTAAATTTTTACTAACCAGGCAGGCAACGCAAGTCGAGGTCAAGTTCCAATACTTTAGTTTATTATAATTAAGCATAGTTATTTCTTTATGGTTTCATACTTAGCTATGATATGCTGGGCGTGATCGCCATATGAGGCGTGACATTTTATATAACTAGGTGGTGATACGGTTAGTAGTGCGTATATAGAGAGCAGAGCTGAAAAACTAACGATAGGTCATAAATTTTGATAGCCAGCATGGAACGCTACGAAATGACGAAAGTACCCCTATTTTTTTTTTTTTTTTTGTTAAAAATAAAGTTTGACATATTAGTTGGAAAGTGCCCCAAAATTTAAATATATAAAAATATATATAACTATAAATAAAATATATATACAACAAAAAATATATAAACATAAAATATATATCTATATAATAAAAAATATGTATAATGAAGCGTTGGGTTTTGAAAAAAAAAAACAATATTTGATTTTGAAATTAAAAAATATTTATAAAGTAAATTTATAATATAACTTTATTTGTTTAAAAAACAGAGTATCCCTACTTTTCTGTGAAAAAGAATAATATTAAATAAAGCATGGAAATATTAGAAAGTTTCTATTGTTTTTCAGCTCTATTAGAGGACAGTTAGAAGAGGCGAGCAAACAAGGGCTGGACTTCAAAAAACGAACCACCAAACCAAGTGGAACACTTTACAATATATAACAATAGAAATTAAAGCGCAGATGGTACCAGCTCGAGGTGTTTTGTGTAGGTGTGTGTTTAATATAGTTAAAGTATCCAGGTCTTTCGGATAGTACAACTGAATGTGTTAGTTTTGGATGAGACATATAGAGAATGGATGGTATGTATAGCAAGATAGAGACAGAGATTTTTGGATGCACGAACAGCAGAGTGAAGTCTGTTGCGATTTGAGGATGTAAACATTAAACGATGGATGAAAATATCGATGGGAATACGATAGTACAATTTACAGATAAAAAAACATTTAGATAGATAGATTTGTTGTGTTTGTGTGTGTATGTGTGTGTGAGTGTGTGTACGAAATATATCAATAGTCATATACATTTAAATATATTATATATTCAATGCTGTGTGTAGATTTGTTTTTTTTTTTGTGTGTGGATATGAATTAATCAATCAACCAACCAATCAATCAATCAATCAATCAATCAATTAACCAACCAACGCAGCAACCATTACGACAAGTTCAAAGTAATTTTAATAGAATTAATTATACAAAATGTACTTACATGGCTTGCATAGTTCATAACTCTCAACATTACGTTACGTAACGTGACGTTGAAGTTAACGTTAATGCGCACGCACCTGTCATTCTCACTATCTATATATATGTATACTATAAACATATATATGTATAGATCAATGCTCTGATCATTACGTTACGTAGCGTGACTTTAAAGCTAACGCATACTTAACATAATAGGTGAGCAAGGTAGCACGTAATAACGTGACATCGACGTTAACGTTTACGTAACATAATAAGCTAGCAAGGCAGTACATGATAACGTAACGTTGACGTTAACTCTTACGTGACGGTAACATAAGCTTGCAAGGCAGTACGTGATAACGCGATGTTGATGCTAACGCCTACGTGACGTTATAAGCTTGCAAGGCAATACGAGACAAAGTAACGTTCAGGTTAACGCCTACGTAACGTTCTATAAGCTTGCAAAGCAGTTCGAGACAACGTGCCATTGACGTTAACGCTTACATTACGTCTTCTTGAAACTTTGCCGCTTTTATTATGTTCATATATATATATACGCATATACATATATACATAGTTCATCATTTTTAACAAAAGGTTACGTGACGATAACGTTAACGCTTACGTTACGTTTTAATGTGCTTGCAAGGCAATATGTACTATGGAACTTTGCATTTGCATTACCATTATCACTATATATAAATATATATATCATGGTCGATGGGAAACAGTTGGGGCTTTTTTTATTGGATGGATGGGTAGGTGTTAATGTATGTAAGTATGCATATGTTGTTGGAGGTGGAATAGATGGATAGTAATTTTTTGAGGAACTTGCTTAGACTACTACGAGTAATACTTGCATAGTAAGTACGGTAATGTACGAGTACGATTACGAGTATTGTATACATATCATATTATAATGGAAATTTTGGCATTTACTTATCTTTCGTAATTCGCATTTGGGCTAATTTTTTTTTTTTTGGGTATTTTTTTTTTAATATGAAAAGTGAAGTGTACAAAAATACATACTGTAGTATAGAACACTGTTTGTCGGCCCTGCAATTGGCATTATGTTTATCAACACTCAACTGTACTGCACTGCAATAATTGTAATGTTAACTTTTAATTTTGTTACTGCAACATTAGATTCTTTTGATATAAAAGTTATATATAGATGGTCACTGTGCTAGAGTTGAACTGGGACTAAGTTTATGAAGTGTGTGGGTGTAGTTAGAAGTAAGAACACTAACTATATTTGTTATCTATATATTTATATCGTTTGGATTTATGTTACGAACAGTTTTTGTACAGCCCTCAACTGGCCTAAATTGAGATTGTATATGCCGGGAAACTGATCTTTAATAGACTTTTATATATAAACAATTGGAATATCACAATTTGGAAGAGAGGTTTAAAAATAAATTTAGTTAAGTTAAACATAATTTGGAAAAAATATTATCTAATATGATGATAATTTAGAAACTGATTTACTATTTAATTAATGTTTTTTAAAAAAAGGAAATATTCAGATAAAATGGAAATTCATGGTAAACCAAACTAAAGAAATATATTATAAACAAAGTTTTTATAAACAATGAGATTTCATATACAAATTTCGTATACAAATAGAAATTATTTGTATCAAACAATTAAATTCTTTAATCAATAAGTAACATTCGTTATATAGATCAGTTTCCAGTTCAGTTTGGGAATTATTTAATATATATATTTTGTTAAGGAACATAGCTATGCTAGCCTGACTGAAGAATATATATATTTTCCCATACATTCTGAACGTTTGGGTTTAATAGCTAAAGAGAACGAATTAACCAAATATATATAGTAGAGTGGTTGTTCAGATACAGCATATATATATTCATGGAGTTTAGTCAAATTGAAATTGATGTCGTTGTTGGCAGCGAACGCTGTGTGCAGCACTTGCATCAAGTTTAACACTTACCATGCCCAGGCCATGATTGCCCGGTTGCCGTACCGCTTGCAGACGTTGCAGCATCACAGCACGATTTAGTTCCTCCAATTGTTTCACTTGCTGCTGTTGCTGTTGTTGTTGTTGTTGCTGTTGCTGCTGCTGGGCCTGATGTTGCTGTTGTGCCTGTTGTTGCTGCTGTTGCTGTTGTTGTTGCTGCTGCTGCTGCTGCTGCTGTTGCTGCTGTTGTTGTTGCTGCTGGTGCTGCTGTTGCGCGGCAACAGCATGTGCCACTTGTGCCGCCTGCACCTGTGCTTGCATATGCTGCTGCGCGGCCTGCACATGTGCAGCTTGTACCTGTGCCACCTGTACAGCCTGTGCATGTGCCTGCGCCACGGCCACCAGCGCAGCGGTCTGTAAATAAATTTGATAAAGGAGGTTTTTTGTTCGTTTTTAAAAACCAAGCGGAAAAAAAAACAACAAACAACAAGAAATTCGCACAGTTCGGTTGTAAATATCTTTGCAAATTCGAAATGCGCGCTCGCCGCTGTTTTTCTTTTAATTTTCATTTTTATTTTGCTTTTCTCATCTCTCTTTTGCTATTTAACTTTATGTTAAGAATGTAAAATTGAAAGCCGCCGTTCAGTTTTTGTTGCCATTAATTTGTATGTTTAATTAAAAAATTGTACAGACATATATCATACTATATGCTAAATTGTTAATCTGAATTGTTTTTCTTTTTTTAATATTTTTTTTATATATATTCTTTTTGTTTTAACTCTTTCCGTGTTCCATTTGTCGGCCGTTTTCTGTGGTCGTGCACGCATTCTTCGAAATTGCAAAAATAATTATTGAACCAAGTTATTACAAAAAAAATTATATAAGTAAAATCAAACTATATAATGCCCAGCGTAAAGTTGCGTGGATATCAAAATGGAATTGTTTAAAAATGCGCAACGCGTTTAACACGACACAGTCTCAGTAAAATTTAGCAGATCTCTATCTGAACTGTTATATATAATATATATATATATAAATATATATAGAATTACGTTGCAACGGTTTCTGTATGTGAGTAGTGTATGTGTGTGTATTTGTCTTTTGTACAAGTCCATGTCAGTGTCTGTGCGTCTGCGTCTTCGTCTACTCTCATTTATATTGACTATGGTTTCTATAACTATGATAAGAACTCACTTCCTGTGCCTTGGAGATGGCCGTGCTCACAGCAATTGCGTTTGCAGCGGCCGCGCTGCCCGTTGGCGAGATGCCGGACAGTGAGGGCGGTGGCGGTGTTGAAGGCATTGATGAGGCAGCGCTGCCAACGCTTCCATTTCCACCTCCGCTGCCACCGCCACCGTTATTATTGAGGCTGGGGCTGTGATTTTTCGGCGCTGCAGCGGCTGCTACTAAGGCGGCAGCCACACGCACCTGATACTTGGACTGGCGGGCGCGTAACTCCTCCAGACTTGCATCCTCCGCCGGATGCATTATCTTTGTGCTAACAGCGGCTACAACGTGGCTGCCGCCGCCAACCGCATTGGCTACATTTGGCGGTCGTCCCTGATTATGTGCATCTGGTGCAAGAGAAGGTGCAGCGTTTGACGCCGCACCGCCGCCTAAACCAGCATTATTGGTAGTAGGTGGAGCACTTATGGTGGCATTGCTGCAAGCAATAACATCATTTAAATATATACAAATGATTATAAAATAAGTATAAAGCTAACCTATAAGCTGGAAACGTAGGTTTCTGCTGAGCCATGGCAGCTGCATGTTGCTGCTGCTGTTGTTGCTGTTGATGGTGTTGCTGCTGCTGATGATGTTGATGCACGGCTGCTGCGGCAGCTGCCGCTGAAGTGGTTGCCATCGCTGCCGGAAATATATGACGCGGTGGCATCATGTGCGGCATCATTGGCATCGGATATGGAGGCAATGGTGGCATGTGCTGCATCATACCCATACCATACTGTCCCAACATATGCGGTGGCATCATATTGGTTGGCATCATCATAGGCGGCGGCACAGACATAGGATCTGTAAGGTAAATAAGGTTAATATGTATAAGAAGCGACATTCAAATTATATTAGCTAAGGCAACAAAAATATGATAAATACATATTGAAATCAAAGGTTTTGACCATAACAATGCAGGAGGCAAAGTTCTTTTTGTGGTTTATCACTTTGGTTTCCCGTTCCGATTTAAATACGAATTGTATATTTTACTACACTATTTTCGATGCTTACATTCAACTTTTTTCTTGGCTGCCGGCTCATCATCTTCTGAATCGGATTTACCGCCGTTTTTCTGGCGCTCATGATCGCGTAAATCCTCTGCAGGTATTCCGTCCATTCCAAAAATTTCAATTTCGATGTTGGAACGGTTTGGCAACGAGTTGGGCACCTTATCCACCGTTTCCTTATGCACTTGCATGCAATGTATGGATAGACCCGGCCCCGTATACAGTTTCTTGTGGCATATATGGCACTTAAAGTGTTTCGCCTTTTGATGCTGCACAAGAATTTTCTCATCATCGAATTCGCGATTACAGTACCTAAATTAGTTAGTTATATGGGTTAAGGAAAGAACAAGATTTTCAAGAAGTTTTTTGGCTTTGCCGACTCCAACAAAACAACAACAGCACTCGCCATTATATAAATGCACAAGTGTGGGTGTGTGAGTATGTATGTGTGAGTGTGTGAATGTATGTGTACGTGAGTAGATACAAATTTTTAGCGAGGCTCGCAACGCACACGTAAAGGCGAGACGAGAACTGTAAAATTTTTCATTTGGTTTGTTTAAAAAGGATACCAGCACCAGGGTTTGGAGGCCTTCTTCTTTTTACGACCCATTATCCCAACTTTGTTTTAAACACTTGAATATAACAAGGCGTTTGGTTAAAACTAATAAATTACGACTTTTTGTACAAAAAAAACACTATTTTCAAGCGTCGTGTCGGTATCGGTATCGTAAGAAAACAAAATGGAGTGTGCCCTAGAGATGGACTACTAGCAATGTCATTGTTTTTATGCTTCATCGATAGTTGACTCTCACTATCGAGTAATTGAATATTCATGTTATGTTTAAATACCATATATTTAAATTTCTTTTTATTTGTTCACCCAATATATATACAATTATTTAAGCATTAAATATAATCTAAATTAAAAACATACGCTTTCAAATTCTTCTTCTATTTGACATTCAAATAAAAATTCTTTTATATGGTAGTCCATTTAAAAATAATGTAATATAATTATAATCATGTTTTTAAATGTAATTTCAATCAAGTATTTTATCCTAGGAATAAGTTTAGAGATAAATAAATTTATTTCGATATTTTAAAAAATTCTAACAGCTGAAAGTAATCGATGTAAGATATATGAAACTATCAATGAGTCTAATTCACATTACCGCCTATCGATAGGCGATAACAAAAAACCTTGTGTAGAATTGTATGAAACCGGCAAACGACTAAGATAAAATGGCTGATAAAAAGGTAAACTAGGGAGAAAATAAACGAGTTAAGTGTGTATTAAAGTACGAATTTCTTTTTAGACAGGTGGCAACAACGATGGCAAGGAGAAACGCCGAAAGGAGTCTATTTTGGATCTGTCCAAATATCTGGAGAAACAAATACGTGTGAAATTCGCGGGAGGCCGCGAGGCTTCTGGCATACTGAAAGGTTACGATGCGCTGTTAAATCTGGTGCTAGACAATACCGTGGAATACTTAAGAGATTCAGACGAACCCTACAAACTCACCGAGGATTCAACGCGAAGTCTTGGCCTGGTTGTTTGCCGAGGCACGGCGTTGGTGCTTATCTGTCCACAGGATGGAGTCGAAAGCATAGCTAATCCCTTTATTACGCAGTAAGCGGATAGGAAGAATATGCTGTCTGGTCTAGGCTAAGTAAACATTTTGGTTGATAAACACGTTTTGCATACATATTTAAAATAATGAAATTTGTGTAACATACTATAAATACAAACTTAAAAACTAAACAATTGGCTATTCTAGACCAAATTCGTTGCGAATCCAAGGATACTGTGCCGGGCATTCCATGCACGTGTAAAAGTAGCGATCCTCCTGTAGCACACGACTCCGAACCTTACACACATTAGGAGTTTGGCAGACCAGCTCATGCGGCTCCAGCTGTTTGGGCTGGCAGCGCCAGGACTCGAATTGATGTAGTTGATTGTTGGGCGTTGGCTGTCGCATCCATTGAATAGCTTGCTGATTGGTCACAAAGTAAACATCCGGCAGCTTGTGCATGTCATCCAAGAATTTCTAGAAGATATTTACTTAAGCAAAAACGTTTGAGCTAACCATCTGCCTACGAAGCTCACCAGAAAGGCATTCAAATAGTCAATCTTCTTGAACCATGTTGAGTGGAAATAGAGACCATAAGGCGCACGATTGCTTAAATAGTGACGCTTGAAGTTATAAGTCAACATGCGGTATACATCGTCCCCAGTTAGGTGTGGAGGACAGCTGTCGACCATACCGCATGTGTATTCGCCTGCACCAGCCTCCAGTTGATTCATGACCAGTTCCCAGATGCCCGGATAGCTGCGTGTCGGACAATTCTGATTGGCACCCAGGCAGCTGTGCGGCATCTTAAAGTCCAGCGTGTATGGCCACAAAGGTGGATTCGAGTGCGGCGCCACCATGGAAGCATCATAGACAAAACCAAACTCTTTCATCATGAGGAACTGACGATTCCAGCCAACGCGCAGGAAGGGCACGCGCATACCACGCAGCTCCTCCATGCGAACGCCAGCAAATTTGTTGATGATGTTCGCCTGGCCAACCATCTCATCGAACCAATCCTCAATGGTGGCATTCTTGGACCACCACAACTCCGGCCCGCGATGTCTGCAAAGAATCAATTTGAATGTAATCCTTAGGAGAAGGCTTTCCAACCTACGTCACCGAATGCACCGCGATCTCGTGACCATCGTTCCATAGCTTCTGCACATACTGATAATTCGTATACGGATGGGAGACGTAGAAGGTGCTGCGAATAGGACAACCATTCGGATTACGACGATTTGGCGTGAAGAGCACCTTGGAGAACAGTTCCCAGTTGTCATGATTAATGGCATCGTCAAAGGTTAGCAATATCATCTGTGGCACAGTCTGCGCCTGTAGTTGTCCAGGTATCTGCGTGCCATCCTTCGAGCAGAAGCAGTTGGGCAGCTGACATTTGCGCTGATCGCAAGCGCCTGCGGCATTGGGATCATGGTCAACATCGCACCAGCCCTCGTCGGAGCCATCCGGACAGTCGACAGACCCATCACAGAAGTAATCTTGAGGCAGACACGTACCATCCGCACAGCCCAGCTGCGATTCATCCGCACAGTCCGCCATCTCAAGCAACGGCTTGGGCGCTGGCGTCTCAGCGCTTATATCACAATTATCCACATTCGCTTTGAAATCACATATTTGTCGCACCACATCAAAGAGCAGTCCCTCGGAGCACTTGAATTCAAAGACCTCACCATCCAGGCACAAGAAATACTTCGCACACTCGCTGTTCGTCCATATTTTATGCACAGGTCGATTCGGATTGCGATAGAAGCGAGCATCGGGCATGCAGGCAGCCGTTGAGCTGGATCGTCTATGCCGACTGTGGTTGCCTCCAGTCTCTGCCCGCACCTTGTTGTTGGCATTGTCTGCAAAGCAGTTCGTGTGTGAGATAGGCTTATTATCTAATTACTGCCAAAAACTAATTAATACGTTGACCCAAAAACCAAGCGCACGTCCACAGTCGGACGTGGAGGTGGGGCAGGGCGGACCGGCGCTGTTGGCCACATTGCTGCAATAATTTTGGCTAGCTTGCAGATCACGCAGCTGCACGAGGGTTTACAATAGAGTCTCTAATTGCGAACTCTTGTTTTTGGGAGAGAATATATATATTTATGTATAATATAAGCTATGTTCGTGTCGAGCTGAAGTCTAACATAATTTAACAATGAAATTTGTTTATATAATTGTATATCCCTGTTAATACTTAAAATGCGATAATACCAATCCATTTCTTAGTTGGCTTAAGGGCACAATATCCTAAAAGTCTTCAGTTCTTTAAAATTCTTTCAATTACTAAGACTTTGATATCAAAACAATTCCTAGAGCTGCAAATGAAGGGAGAAATTATACGAACATTTGACTTACTTTTGATATAGAAATAACAGAAATAAACTAAGTCGCATCTTATAAGCGGAACCGAAAGTATAAATATTCATTCAAGCGTGCTTTCACTGTAATTGTGTACATACACACACACATAAATGTACATTAAGTGTGTGAAAAGAAAATCTTGTGTTAAAGTTTTCTTTTCAGCTAAAATTAGAATGCGGACTTACATTAAGTCAAAGATTGTACTAGATATATACTGATATATCTTTTAAGAATTTGTTTTTCTATTGTCTCTTTGAAGTTGTTTCTAGAAAAAGAAATCCTACATAAATGTGGAATTCTAAGAGCTGCCCTAACTATGCCCATTAGGGGCTTTCAGTGTAAACTAAACTACGCCCATGTGCTGCACAACAATTTTGGTGGCAGCAAGTCAATTGCGTTTGCAACACACAGATTCAGATACAAGCACACACGCAGTTGGCTTGGCGGCATAGCTGGAGCAGATCGTAACTCAAGCGATTGGGCAAGCGACGCATGTGTAAAATGCAAGATGCGATCTCTAGATTCGATATATGCTGTGTACACATGTGTGTGTGTGCGTGTGTAATATGCAATATGCGATCTCAAGATACGATACACATGCATATATGTGAATGTATGGAGATGTGTCTGTGTGGATTGCGTGTATAGAAATGTCTGTGTGTGTGTGGGTAGACTGGCAGCTGCAGCATTTAGAAAGTAACAGTAAAGGCACTTTTTGTGTATGTATGTTGCCAAAGCTTTGCCTAAAATGGTGAGGTCAGGAAAATTTTCAGCAACTGTCATTTGGGGTTCAATGGACAGGCCCCCGTTGATATTATATAACAAAACAGATCAACAACTTTCACGCCCAATGCGCGCGCTTGCGCATGCCAAAGACAAAAAGGAGACAACAACAGCAGCAGCAGCAATAAGACGCACCTAATCAAAAGTCAGGTAGTAAATTTGTTGATGTCAAACAAAAGAGAGCGAGAGGGAGAGGGAGAAATTACCAATGTTTGTAACAGCCGCCGCCGACGACGACATAATCACGAAGATGGCCGTAAAGGCAGCAACAACAACTAATGCCCACGATTTTTGCATAGCTGTAAATGAGCAGCGTTTATAACGGTTTTGTGTGTGCGCGTCGACCTTGACTGTGAAACCCGTTTGCTTATTTGAATTTTCCCTCCGGCACAGCAGCATTTTCTGCTGATTTTTAGTCTATTTTTCTTTCTTTTTGTTTTTGTATTACGAAAATGCGACCGGCGCGCTTACAATGTCCGAGCTTTCGCGCAGCGTACCGCAGCTGCTGAACACCAAAACAAACTGAAGGCTTGGGCGCTGCAGACCAGGCCATATATATCGCGACATGGGAGAAAGCTCTCTTTGGCTGGTGCTGCTGGTTGAATCAGATTTGCACTTGAGTATTTTTCTTTCAAATGATGCATGCTGTTATTTACAAAACAAATAATTTGACCGTTTTGCATGTGAAAGTTTAGCTTAGAACTTTGATTGTCTTGAAAATAATGGCATCGACCGGAATATACTCCACATTTATTTTGAGTTCATTTTCTAATGATTATTTTTGCAACACCCCCTTTAAAGCTTAAATGCTAAGAAAATATAGTAGACTTTGTGCTAAATGAAACTTTTAATTTAACTGGTTAAAATAAATTATTTTTAATTTGCTTTACAATAAAATTTTCTAACTAATTAAAAAAGTCTTAATTTAATTTGAACTGTGTATTTGAATTGCGAACGCAAGAACGGTATTTACTACATCGTGCTGCCAACTTGCTTGAAAGTCGCTGTGTTTTAGTTACCATAAATGCCGCTAGAAGCGTTACGCAGCGATTGCAACTCTGTCGTAGCGTCATATTTTATTTTAGCGCCAGGAGTTGCGGACTGTGTTAAGGATTTTAAATAAGTTTCTCGCTTAATTTTAAACAAATTTTGTTGCTAATATGCGACCCAGCCTGGGTACGCCCCAGGGACGCGGCGGCTGTCGCACCAGTGTCGGCGCACGCCAAACCCACCAGCAAATGATGAAGGCACAACAAGAAGCAGATGATGCCGCCGCCATGGACGCTTTGGATGACGCGCTAATCTTCGATGACGAGGAGGGGGGCACACGCATTGGCGATATCTATATACCTCCGCCAGTGCCGCCGCATTGCTCCATGGAGAGCGTCGGCCCACGTTTGATAATCAAACGCATTGTCAACAACAATTTCAAGAGCTATGCAGGCGAGGTGGAGTTGGGTCCATTCCATCATTCCTTTACAGCGATCATTGGACCGAATGGCAGTGGCAAAAGCAATGTCATTGACTCAATGATGTTTGTGTTTGGCTGTCGGGCAAATCGCATACGCTGCAAGAAACTATCCACATTGATTCACCATTCCAAGAATTTTCCAAATCTTAGCAGCTGTTCGGTGGCTGTGCATTTCGAGCTGGTGGTGGACAAGCCGGACGGAAAGAGCGAACCAGTAGCCGGTTCACAATTCTACGTACGGCGGACAGCAATGTCAGATAATTCGTCCTTCTATCAAATCGATAAACAACGTGCCCAGCTGAAGGATGTTGCTAAGCTGCTGAAGAAACATCATGTGGATCTCGAGCACAATCGTTTTCTTATACTCCAAGGCGAGGTGGAGTCCATAGCCATGATGAAGACCAAAGGACAAACGGAGAACGAGACGGGCATGCTGGAGTATTTGGAGGATATTATAGGAACGCAACGTTATATCCGTCCATTGCAGCAGATCAACCAGCGTGTGGATCAGTTGACAGATGATCGTACGGAGAAGCATAATCGCTGCAAGCTGTCTGAGCGCGAAATGAAAGATCTAGAGCAGCCTTACAATGAGGCTGTGGAATATTTGCGCAAGGAAAACGATTTGGTGCGCACCAAGAATTGGGTTACCCAGAAGTACATAAGCATCAAGAAGCAAAAGCTGGAGGAGTATACCAAGGAGCACGACGAGTGCAGCAAGGAGATTAAAAGCCATGACGAAGGCACTGAGGCACTCAAAAAGGAGCGTGCCGAAAAGGAGCTAATTATACGCAAGGAAATGGAGTAAGTGGCTAAGCTATCCTGAAAGTTCCTCTATTTACATAACTCCTATGCACATATTTGCAGAGCCTATGAGGCGTTGGTTAAGCAGCGTGAGGACATCAAGAAGAAGCTGGTGGCCGCGGAGCGTAGCTACACTGAAGTCCAGAGCGCCATGGAGAATACGAATAAGCAGCGCAAAAAGGATAAAGTTCAAATCGAAAAAAACGAAAAGGAACTCGAGGATTTGCGCAAGCTGCCGGATAAGAACGAGAAAGAGATCGAAGAATGTGAACACAAACTCGTACGCCTGGAAAAGGAGAAAGTGACGCTCAACGAGGAGTTGGAGAAACAGCTAACGCTGCTCAAAGAGCAATCGGAACCCCTAACCGAGAAGCGTCTCAAATGCAGCGACGAATTGATTGGCCTAGAAGAAGCCGTCAATTCAGCTCGAGAGGAACTGCAGGTGCACGAGTCGAAACTAAAGATTTTGAAGCAAGTAGAGACTACAGAGGCGCGCAAATATGAGTCCTTGAAAAGCTCCTACGAATCGGCGCAGCAGAGCTTGGAAAGCATGACCAGCAAATTGGAGGAGTTAAAAACAAATGTGCCGCAGCTTGAGGAGGAGATTAGAACCAAGTCAGCAGAGGTGCAGAAATTGAGCCATGAGGAACGCAACTTGGCCGTGCAGTGCGGCAAGCTGCGCGAGGAGGTGCGTCCCAGATTATATGTCTATATATATATACATAACTAATTTTTCATATATTTTTGTTAGATCAATGAGCGCTCATCGAACATGCAAGCTCAGCGCTCGAATGATAAAGTTTTGGACTTCTTGATGCGCATGAAGGCGGAAGGCAAAATACCTGGCATACTTGGACGCCTGGGAGATTTGGGTGGCATTGATTCCAAATATGATATAGCCATATCGACAGCCTGCGGACGCCTGGATAATATTGTGACGGATACATATGACACAGCCACAGCTGCCATTAAAGCGCTCAAGGAATATAATGTGGGTCGAGCCAATTTTATACCCCTCAACCGCATGGAGCACTGGCGCAGTAAATCGTATCGCATCAATACGTAAGTGAAACGGAATGTTAAAAGTATTTACAATTGCTTATAAACTCTTAAACTGTTATCGTTGTCTAGGCCAGAGAACGTGCCTCGCCTTTACGATCTGGTTCAGGTGGAGGATGAGCGCGTTAGGACTGCCTTTTATATGGCTTTGCATAACACACTGGTGGCCACGGATCTGGAGCAGGGCTCACGCATTGCCTATGGCCGTGAACGCTTTCGTGTGGTCACGTTGCGTGGTGAGATCATCGAGCAGGCTGGCACCATGTCTGGTGGAGGCAATAGACCGGTGCGTGGAAAAATGGGCACACAGGTGCGCACCAAGACCGCCGAGTCCATGGACAACTCGCAAGTGTCGCAGAAGGCTTTGGAAGATATGCAAGTACAGGCCGAGGAGCTGCAGACGCGCATCAACTATTGCCAGGAGCAGCAAGGCCGGCTAGAGCATGAGATCCAAATGCTACAAACGAATTTGCAACGCAGCGAAACGGAGCAAAAGCGTCTAACGATGAGCATCAAATCGCAGCAACAGCAAATGGCCAGCAGCCTAAAACAATGCGAAGCTCAGCGCAAAAAGATGCAATCTCACACCACAGACGAAGCCGCTGTCAAAGAGCTGGAAGCGCACATCAAGAAGGCCAACGAGCAGCTGGAAAAGTGCGTCCAGAACGAGCAAGCCATGTCAAGTAAAATAAGCGAAGTGCAGGCAGAATACGATTCTCTGCGCTCGAATACCGTAAAGCCCGTGGAGGCGAAACTGAAGAAGACAACCGGACAGATTGAGAAGCTGGCGGGAAATGTGCGGTCCTTGAATGTAGCCTTAACCACAGCGGAGCGTAGCATTGAACGTTTGATGAAAAACAACAATAATTTAAGAGATAATATAAAATCGGCAGAAGATAAACTAAAATCCCTTAATGAAGACCGTCAACAGTGCCAGGAGCGCAAGGAAGAACTGGAAGAGGAGGCCAAAAAGGCCGAAGAGGCCATTGGCAGTGCCAAATCGCAATCTTCGGACATCAAAAAGCAAATCGATGAGCTAAGCAAACAGGAGAATCAACGTAATCTCGCACGCGTTGAGATTGAGACGAAGCTGCAGGCGGCAGCGGCCAAGATGAACGAGGTCAAGTCGGATATACCACGTTGGCAGCAGCAACTGAAGCCTCTCAAACTTAATGAAATACCAGGAGAAACCAAGCCACTGGCGCCGCTGAAAACACTCACCGAGGAGGAGCTGGAAGCCGAGAGCTTGGAGGACATGCAGTATAAGCAAACGCTGCTCGAGGAGCAGCTGAAAACGAAACCCAATTTGGGCTTCATCAAAGAGTTCACAGAGAAGCGCCTCATTTATCTAGATCGTGTGCGCGTCTTGGAGGACATCACATCGAAGCGTAACGAAATGCGAGACAAGTACGAGGAGGTGCGCAAACGTCGCTACACAGAATTCATGGAAGGCTTCAATATTATCACGCGGAAGCTGAAAGAAATGTATCGCATGATAACGTTGGGTGGCGATGCGGATCTGGAGTTGGTTGACTCAATGGATCCCTTTACAGAGGGCGTTCAGTTCACTGTGCGTCCGCCCAAGAAGAGTTGGAAATATATTTCGAATTTGTCAGGCGGAGAGAAGACGCTCTCCTCTCTCGCCTTAGTCTTTGCTCTGCATTATTATAAGCCATCACCTTTGTATTTCATGGATGAGATCGACGCTGCTCTCGACTTTAAGAATGTATCCATTGTGGGACATTATATAAAGGTGGGCTGCTACACTCTCTTTCTGGGTCTTCACTTAACTCTTTCCCTTTTTCTAATCGTCTAGGAGCGCACGAAGAATGCTCAGTTCATCATTGTCTCCCTGCGCGTCAATATGTTTGAGTTGTCCAACTATTTGGTAGGCATATTCAAGGTGGATGACTGCACGGATTCGGTAACTTTGGTTAATCATCCGCCTGATCCATTGCCGCCGTCCACGCAGTCGCATGTAACAACCAGCCAGCAAATAGATCTAACCTTGGACACTGCCCAGAATGGAGAGGAAAAGGGGTCAGAGCAGACGGAACAGTCTGACCAGTTGCCGCCCTTGCAATCAGAGCAGCTGTCGGTCATGCACTCCGATCTTTCGAGAGCTTGTGGCAGAGACACAACGTTTGCGCCGCCTCTGGAGAGTACGGTGATAACGCAGCCAGTGCAGCAAGAGTTGAGTGAAGTGGTTGCCAGTCCCAGTGAGCTATCCATTCAGAGTCCGCTGGCCACCATCAATGCCTAGGAGCCATCTACAAATATACAAAATAAACTTAACTATCTTTACACATAACTTTAATAAACAGTACAAATCATGAATTAATTTCTAAACGCTGGCCATGATCTTGCTGCAAATGCCGGCTAACGCTTCGGTGGTGCCATTGCTGATTGCTGTGATGTCCTCGCCAGCATCGCAGGCTCGTGTCACTTGTGGATCGAGCGGTAGCGAGCCCAAGAGCTCCACATTCATCTCCTCACACATGGCCGCTGCGCCACCTGTCTTAGCGGGAAAGATCTCTGAACTATTACCACAGTGGCCACAGCGGAAGCTACTCATGTTCTCAATGACGCCCAATATGGGAATGCGTTGCTTTTTGCAGAAGTTGATCTCCTTGCGCACATCGAGCAGTGCCACCTCTTGTGGAGTGGTCACTATTATTGCCTTCAAAGATTCGGGTGCAGAGTCATCCCTGAGATATGACACCACCGACAGATGCTCGTCCGATGTGCCTGGCGGTGTGTCCAGCAACAACAAGTCCAAGTTTCCCCAATCCACTTCGCTAAGGAACTGTCGGATCATGCCATTCTTCTTTGGACCGCGCCATATGATGGCATCATCCACAGAGCCCAGCAGGAAGCCTATGGACATGAGACAGACGTTATCGTCGATGCCCACCGGCGACCAACCAGAGCCGGATTGGTGTACATTCTCGCCGAGAGCGCCTAGCAGGCGCGGCTGCGACGGTCCACAGATGTCTATATCGAGTACACCGAAATTACTATCGGGGCAGCTGCGTGCCAGGTAACGTGTCAGCAGCGTGGTCACCGTGCTCTTTCCTACACCTCCTTTGCCTGAGAGTATAAGCAGCTTGTGCTTGACATCTTTCATAGCAGCGGCGACAAGTGCTTTGCCGGGATCCTCCAACTTTTTACTAGGATCACTACATATGCTTTGATTGGGGCAGCCGGCACAAGCGCTAACTAGACCGGCCTGTTCGCTCTCAACGCCCGGACAGTGCTCTGGTGGCGGTGCTTGCATTTTCTTTAAACAAAAAACGCGTTGAGAAATTGGTAAGCGGAATGTAAATCAAGTTCAGCTGATAAGACGATTAGTGTCGACGTATTTGGTGAATGCCAAAGTGATTTGTTTTCTTTAACAGTTCGATCGAGTCCTATCGATAAGTGATAGACAAAAATTAAAAATATGATAAATATGTGGTATAAAAATTATAATTATATAAATTAATTCTTTATAGATTTGTTCAGTTAACTTTAAAATAATTTCTGCTATTTACATTATTTACTGGTTAAGATTTAACGTCGATAGATGATAGTATGTATGGCAATCAAGCAAACCCATCAATACCAGTTCATTTGAAAGCAGCATGAGTAGCAGTATTAAATAATGTATTCTATTAAACAGTGTGTTATACCAAAAATCCAAATCATTTATTATGCTTCACTATGTGCATTTAAAATGCTTAAAATATGATTAATGGCTACTTAATTAAGCGGCAGCATTGTAGTCGAGCAGGCTCTTGGAACTAATTTGTTCCAGTTGGCGAACACCATTTTTGTCGACAACCGCCACATTAAAGTTCTTCAAGTTAACAATCAGACGCTTCTGGATTTCCAGCACACACTTCTTCAGCACTTCGTAGGCCTCCTCCTGGGTGATATTTTCATGCCAATATCGATCAAAGATGCTGGCGCAGAACATGCTACCGTATCCATGACCGGCGTAATTCAAGGATTGGGCAGACGCCAGGTAATCAATGAAAGTCAGCTCAGGACCTTCATTGGGATCGTAGCTAATAAAAGATTACTATTAGTAAGCTTCATATAAATGTACACCTTTGCTACTCACCCGGCCACAAACATAAACACCTGGTAACGTGTACGGCTACGCAGACTCTCAGCCAGATTCTTGCGAGTGAAATGTGCTGCCGATTTTGGGCTTAAATCGTAGCCATTGCGCATCTTGTACAATGCAATGTTCTTCGCAATAAACTCTGTAAACTGCTCAGTGTCACCAGATTCACCTACCGTGGAAATCAACAAGTTTTCCGCAACCTGGTGGATTTTGTTCTCATCTGCAAAAATGATGCGAAGTGTGTTTGAGAACCGGCGGTGCAAAAAACACTAAACCCTACCAGTGGCCACAATTACCTTCTTTCATCACAATTACAGAATTGGCATGAGTTGTGTCAGCAGCGAGCATGACAAAATCAGGTCCCTTTATGCCCAGAAGAGTCTCCATTTTAGAATCGTAATATTTATTTGACTCTTCGACGTTGTTAGGATGACTTGATTAAATTTTTTGCCGTAGCTGTTTCACATCGAAGTGGCGGTAACCCGATTAATAATCATAGGTGGCTGATCGAACAATCGATATACCGATATATATATAGCGATGTATCGATATAGGTTTCATTAACATTGCCCTTTGCGCATGTACATTTTTAAAATTAACAGACTGTTATAAAATGGCTTCTGCATTTAGAAACAGTTTCGCGTTTCTTTCATCCCACTGCTATAAATAAAATGGGCACACTTTTTTTACACTTTATATAAGAATACACATGGGCAATACATGTGATATTGCTTAATCTAGATGCCGCTAATACTATTCACATTCGTAATTCATTTGTGGTGGTTTACCGATATATTATTATAGGATATTGGAATCATATTCAGCGATAGTTTCACATTAGCGACACACGTTTGCTATCGATACATTGGGAATAATTAATCATTCATCTCTACATTTCAGTCTCTCCTTCGTATTTTACTTCGTGTCGTCGTCGCTTTTGTGAACAAAAAATACGAGAAAAAGTTAAAAGCAACGAAATTTTGCTTCAGCATTTTGAGCAAAATTTCAAGAAACAAGTGTAGCACATAGCTAGCAACTCACTGCATACACATTTTTCAATCCCCCGTCGTTAAAAAAAGCCGTCAAAATTGAGTCGACAAAGATTGACGAGACTTTTCCTCCAACAACTGCTATGGAGGATAAAGCAACAACAAAAGATCTAGATCAATGGATTGAGCAGTTAAACGAATGCAATCAATTGACAGAAACACAAGTTCGCACCCTCTGCGATAAGGTAAGGAGTTGCCAGTTCGCCCCTATACCACGTAGAAAATGATTTAAAAATAATTTTCATCATCGCTTGTGTGTGCCTCGGCACTGTAATTTTTGCAAATGGTGTGCGTATTTTTCTCTCGCTCATGAATCATGATGCGTCGCCATATTGATAAATTCCAACAGCCAAGCGCCGCTTTGCATGACGTGCGTGCGAGCAGGATGCCAATAAGCATTGCGTGTATGTGCGACTGCGACAAATCGATGTGTGCCGCCTAGCCGAGAATATATTTCGGTTTTATTCCCTCTTTTGTAAATTTCATTATATAGCATTTGTTTAGTTAATGATAATGGCAAACGTGCGTAATTGTTTTTGAGTAGTACAAAAACAAAAATTGCAACGACCCTGCGAATTGTCCGGCTGTCCGTATCTGCGTCACACGTCTTAAGTAAATATTACTTAATGTTTTGTGTGCGTTGGTGTGTGCTCTTAGAATATGTATCTATGTATTCGACATACAAGCGTACACACACGCACGCACACACACTTGTTCTACCTATCAAAAGCGGTGTGTGAGTGTGTGTGTTGTTTTTTCCCCAACAATATTGAATTCAATTAAACAAATTAATGAAAAGCTCACGCGTATAGATATTCACGGCAAAACGCGCATCGATATCAATTATTTTCAATTTGCTGATTTCACTGTAGCCGCAGGCACAACATCGATATCGAGTGCCTCTAGAAGTGGGGTTATGTTTGCGTCACCCAAATATTTTGTTGTGCCCAATTGTTCTAAACTCTTGTTCTTCACGCATCGTAATGCCAAAAAGACTCATAGGCTATTCTGGCGGAAGCGGACGCCAGACACACCACACCCGACAAGGCAATATGGCTAAAAGAAAAAAAAACTTAAATGAAATTGGCTCACATAAATCTGTTGCGCTTCGCACCCGGAAACATATCTTTCACATGTCATTCCTCATTCCTCAACGCAACAAACAAAATTATGTTTTACACCAAATGCATATTATAAACAAAAATACTGATAACTCACTGGTGTGGACAATTACGATTCTAGTTAAAAGAAAATGGAGTCAAAGCACAAATAAAAATGTTAAATAAATAAGTCATATCTATACGATTTCAGTTAAAGTAGCTTTGCTTATATATAAACTGTATATATAATATATGTGTATATATGTATCATATATATTAAACCATATATATATATATTTGTGTTGAACACAAAGACTTGATATCAAGTGTAGCCAACTTGGAAAATATATCTATTTTCCTTTTTTTTTTAATATCATCGCTAGGAAATTTGTTTTTTTTTTTTAAGGTAATTTTTAGAAAATTTTAGCTTTGAAATATCTCGTGAGTCAAGATATCTGTTGTTAGCCGAGCTTACACAGCTGCATATATAATATATCATACATACTATAGTATACTATCAGTTGTTATCATATCTAATCTTTATTAGACATATTTCAATTAAGTAAAATAGAAAACCAAAACAAAATATTAATCAATTTCTATCAATTTTTGTTTAGGCCAAGGAAATCCTTTCAAAGGAATCCAATGTGCAGGAGGTCAAATGCCCCGTCACAGTCTGTGGAGATGTGCACGGCCAGTTTCACGATCTTATGGAACTGTTCCGGATAGGCGGCAAATCGCCCGATACAAATTATTTATTTATGGGCGATTATGTGGATCGTGGCTACTATTCTGTAGAAACGGTCACACTGCTTGTGTCGCTTAAAGTCCGCTATCGTGAGCGCATCACCATATTGCGCGGCAACCACGAATCGCGGCAGATAACACAAGTTTACGGCTTCTACGATGAATGCCTGCGCAAGTATGGCAATGCGAATGTGTGGAAGTATTTTACCGATTTGTTTGACTATTTGCCATTAACGGCGTTGGTCGATGGCCAAATCTTTTGCCTGCATGGCGGCCTAAGTCCGTCAATTGATAGTTTGGATCATATACGGGCATTGGATCGCTTGCAGGAGGTGCCCCATGAGGGGCCAATGTGCGATTTGCTCTGGTCCGATCCCGATGATAGGGGTGGCTGGGGCATTTCGCCACGTGGAGCGGGCTACACCTTTGGACAGGTAAGTGCTTGAATTACTTAAACTAATTTACAGTTTAACTAATGTATGTATATATATGTTTTCATATAGGATATATCGGAAACGTTCAACAACACAAACGGCCTCACATTGGTCTCGCGTGCACATCAGCTGGTAATGGAGGGCTATAACTGGTGTCACGATCGCAACGTTGTCACAATATTCTCAGCGCCCAATTATTGCTATAGATGCGGTAATCAGGCGGCACTCATGGAACTGGATGATTCACTTAAATTTTCATTGTACGTTTATAGTCTATTTGGCTGGCTATTCAATCGTAATCTAACCAAAAACTTTTTTCTTGTCTTCTTCGGTTCAGCCTACAATTTGATCCCGCACCGAGACGCGGCGAGCCACACGTAACGCGAAGAACACCAGATTATTTCCTTTAAGCTGTTTTTGCGAGCGGCACCAAAATTGCAGCTTACCAACATTTACACATCTTATTACACCGCATTATAACAAAAAGCAAAGAAAAAAACTTAAACAAAAAAAGAAAAAAAGAAGTAAAAGTTGTATGGCAAGCCGTTTTGAAAATTAACAATAAGAAACGCAAAACAAAAACAACAGCAAAACAAAACAAACTACCAATAATTGTTTAAAAAAGGAAAAACAATATCGATGCATTTTATGTATTGTAATACTAACAATTGTTAATGCATACGAATATTGTTAAAATGAACAGTTGGCGGGTGGGGGAGACAAATGAGGGCAAGCGCCGGACGAGTCGATATCAAGCAGCAAGGAGCAGCAGCAGGAAGCAGGAAGCGGAAGCGGATAAACAATCCAATCAAGCAACAACCCAGCAAACAACCACAAAAACTACAACTACTTAGCTAAATTTGTTAATTTATGAAATAACGAACTAAGCCTAAAATGATGGATGGATGGATGGATGGATATTGTATAACACATGGCCTGGCACCGACTTGGTTGGGGTTTTCCTTCTTTCATTTCTTTTTTTTTTTTGACATTAGACGTACAATTTGGACAGGACACGGCACACACATTAGCAGGACGACAACAACAAGAAATAGGAGCAGCAGCAGTAGCAGCGGCGAAATCCTTTTGGGCGGGGCAGTCTGAGCAGAAGAACAGCGGGCGATTCAAAGTAAATAAAAAAAGAAAATATATAAAAAGAATTAATATTACTGATTACAATTAAAAATAAAAAATAAAATAAAATTATTTAAAAACAAATTATACAACAAATGAGAACAAAAACAGATTCATTCAGCAAATGTGTGCCCGGTTTTCACTTTTACTGCACACAAACAACACACACACGCATACACGAATCATCAAATTTTCATATATTAAAAAAGAAACAAAAAAAATCGAGTAAATTTTTTTAAAATTTTCGCAGTGAAAGTGATTTCGGGCACAGGCCTGATTATAAATTAAGTTCATATGTAACTTTAATAATAATAAAAACAAAAAAACAAAAACAAACAAACAAATGTGTGTAAACAGGAAGCTGTTAATCAACAAAAGCAAAAAGAACGGCAAACAAGCAGACGAAGAGCTATTTGACTAAGAGAGCGATTCAGTAAAGAGCGCGCTCTCTTTGATTTTCTGTTTGCTTCTGGCAATGCCATGCTAGCTAACGGTACTATTTGGCAGTATGTGTGCGAGCGCGAGAGCGTACGCACGTCGCCTGCACAAGGCGTGCTCGCTGCGGCTTGCCACTTTAATTGAGACCTAGCCGAATTTTAAAATTTCTGCTCAATAAACAGCAACAACAAGGACAATGGAAAATAAATTTGAAATCTGAGTGCTGCCTATTTGTCACACACAAACAGCCCCACACATATGAATTCTGATATATCTGACTTCCAAGTAGCTCTAAACTTGCCAGCAAACACCTACAGACAAAGAGCGAGAGAGACAGAGGAAGAGAGAGAGAGTTGCCATCTATCATGCTGCAGCATGTGGCTAGAGTGGGGGCATGGTTGGGGGCCAGGGTAATTGTCACTGGCAGGCGTATGGAGATGGGGGCGACTGCTGTTATTTATTTTTTTTTGAGGTGGGGCTTGGGGGCTCGACGTCAACTGCGGCTGCGACTGCGACAGCTACTGCGATGTATGCGACATGGAAAATCCATTATCACGAAGTGAATTTTTACTGAAAAATTTACATAGCCGCGAGCGTCCCGCCGTCCTCTGTCCCCCGCGACCCAGTCCCCAATACCCCGCCCGCATACATATAAATGTGAAAATAAATCCTGAGTGCGTGTACAGATGCTCGGCAAAGGATGCTGAATAAACAACAATAACAAGTAGAAGCAAGATCGAGAGTGCAAAACGAGCAGATACCCTGTAAACAGAGCAGAGAGAGAGAGAGAGACAGAGACACTATGGATAAGTTGGTGATAGTCGGGTCTGAAATATGCCTAACATAACTAAATAAAAAATGTTATATTTATCGCTAACAAAATAAGGATTGAGAAGTGATGTCAGGTAAAAATAATTAGCTTCAACTATCTTATCTGTACAATTAATATAAAAAGCCATAAAACTTTGTATTTAAGTTCTCTTTCTTATCATATCATATCAAATCGATATTTATCGATAATGTAAGTAATGAGCAAGATAAATCCAGTTCAAATACGTGCTAATTGGACAAAAGAAGGTATTCTTTGAAATTTCAAGTCTAAGATTTTCGTCATACATATAAACTCCACTAGAAAATATCGATATTTATCGATTTGAAACACTGGTTGAGGGAGAATGGAAAGAAAAAGAAGTACCATATGTGATTTATTTTGTATAGAGACTATATTTATATAGAGACTATAAAAGGATGAAAGTCGATAATTATCGATATTATCGATACTTTTGAAGGCGACGTATATACTATGATACATATTCAAAAACTCCACATTTTCTTTTCTATATCCATACGACTGCGCAATACGCCCAATTATCGATATTCTCATTTTACAGGGTATAACTAGAGGAAAAACTCGAAAAGCTTTGGTATTGGGGCGAAAGGTTACGTGCAACGTCTCAAAATAAAGCAAAGAAATCGTTGCTCAGAATGAAGGAAAATATCTACGTTTGATGGGGATATTATTAAGTTCATATATCTGGGCGAGGTCGAAGTCTAAGTTGAAGAAGAAGAAGAACTGTAAGTAGAAATATCTAGGTAAATTTTATTTAATTAAAAGGCATAAATTTAAAACGAAACGATTCCAGATAAGAGGGGCATATAAAACAGAAGAGAGAGAGAGAGAGAGAGGGAGGGAGAGGGAGGAGGCAGAGAGAGTGAGAGATTCGAATGGGGAAAAATATTAAAAATTTAAATGAACTGCTCAGTTTTTACGATTTTGTCCTTAGTTTATGGATGCCAGAAATGTTGGGGCTTGGGTCTAAATAGGTGTGTGTGTGTGGGCGAGTGCGTGTGTGTGTGTGTGGCAGTCATTGGGGCATGCCTAAACAAACGTTTTGTATTTTTATCGTCTGGTTTGTGGGTGTGGCCGAGGGGGCGGTGGGTTGGGTATCTTTTACGATGCAAATTTGTTGCTATAAAATTGAAGAGTGTAGCCGAAGCGTTGCCTAAATAAACTTTACAGACATCCAAGATGATGATGATGATGAGATGCTGCTGCTGCTGCTGCTGCTGCTGCTGCTGCTGCTGTCGCTGATGACTGAAAGGCAACGCCACGTGCCGCAAAAGGTTGAAAGGTCAGCCCTGGACGAGTAGCTGCAGCTGAAGCTATAGCTGGCTATCCTAGTTGGAGCTGGAAGTTGTAGTTGGAGTTGGAGCTGGAGTCGGGGCTGAGCCTGGGGCCAAAATCAACGAAAATCGATTGCCGCTAAATACCCCAAAAGTTCTTTCGGGAGTTGTTAACTCAACAAACTTTTCTGTACGGCCTTTCTTTTTATTTTATGTCATACCCACTGAAGCCATTGACAATGCGAAATCAGGGTATACTGCTTACGCTCAACTGTATGTAACGGGGCGAAAGGAGGCGTGGCCAATGGCAGAAAGACCACGTATCAAAGGCTGCAGACGGCAGACGGCCAATGGAATATGTATATCGGAGACCTCGAGTTTCGGAGAAAATTAGCTGCAAAATAATTCCGAGTTAAACATGTCATGCGAGATTCAGAGATATTTCGGTGTATCTCTTGATGATTTTACTCCGAATAAGACCGTCTGAATATCGTTGCTATTTCTATTCTTAAAGATTTTTCTTCAAATTTTACTCCGAATATTGACCTTTTCACATTTCACTCCGAATCATTTTGTTGTCATTTTTTATTCCAAATCACGTTTTTTATATATACCTGTTAAATGTCAAAGTTTGTCATTAATATATTTACTCCGAATCTTGTCCTTAACATTTATTTTACTCCGAATCTCGCTCGCTGACATATTTTACTTCAAATCACTTCTTTGACTTCATTTACTTAGGTTTATTTTCTCAACATCATCATCAACATCATCATCAGGTGTTTGACATATTTTACTCCGAATTATGTCTTTCACATCTTATATATTGGCTATTCCGAACATAGCGTGTTTGAAATTTCGGCTGCAGAGTGCTTAGGGTGTCTGCTAGTCAGGCACTTGCGACCAAAGATTTCTTTCTTTTTTTTTTATTTTTTATACAACCTTCTTTATCTTTTCTTTTTTTTTGCATACTCGCAAATCCCCAACGTTTCGCGCAGCGTCTCGAGGCACTTTTTCTTTTAACTTTAATATATTTAAATTTTTTTCTTCTTTGAATTTACTTTTTTTCGAAGAGCATGTGAGGCAATCTGGACTGTGAGAAACACTCATCGAATTCATTGAGTTGCTATAAGAAATATATTTAAATGAATTTGAAAAACTATCTGAAATAAATGAAATTATTACTTTGAAGTTTCTTTTTAGCCTTAGTTTATATATAAAAAAAAAAAAAAAATATATATATATATATATATATATATATATATATATATATATATATATATATATATATATATATATATATATATATATATATATATATATATATATATATATATATATATATATATATATATTTAATTTATAATTTATATTTAATAATTTTTAAATCTTTTTTTATATTTTATTTCATATTATTATTTTTCATTGTAAGAACTTTTCTTTGAGGCAAATTCTAATGCTGCCCATTTAAGACATAAATTTATCTATTTTCAAAATAAACACAATTAAGAATGTTGCCGTCGGTCGCTACCGACTGCATAATACTCGTTCTTAGTCTAAAAACATTTAAATTATCTTTGGTAAATCTCATGGAGGAGAGTCTACTATTTGCCACGCTTCTATTAGGCCTATCTTAGCACATTATCAGATCAAGGTACCCACAAGTAAATATTCAAAATTTCAAAGCTCTAACTTCATTCGAAATAGCCGAAATGTTTTCCGTTCATACACACAGACGGACGCAGAGCAAGACGAACATTACACAAAACTAATAAACTCTTTTGCTTCATAAGTGAGTAATCAAATTCCCATTCTATAGATAGTAAAAGAATATTTTAGTAAATAGCAATTCCTTAGTTTCATATTGCCAAGATTTTGAGAATCAAAAAGTATTTTAGATGGTTTTTTGAGTTTCGTAAGAAAAAGCTTTTATAAAATTTGTCAGAGCTTAAGAGCTCTTCGTAGCACCCTTTTCGTTTCTAGGGAGAAAACTCCATAATAATGCTGTCAATATATCATGCTTCCAGGCATGCATGTGTGTGTCTATATAGAAGCTTAATAGACTTATGAGCTGTCAGCGAGCCCTAAATCATTTAAAATCCCTTCAACATGCTTAGCAGCTCCCCAAGTTGCTCCAGCGAATCGCCGCACATATTATGCAGCTCCTTATGCAGATGATATACTATATATCATAAAGGGCATCCTAATTGCGATTACTAAGTCGACTCTGGCCGCAATAAAGCATTCCCAGAGCGAAGCAGAGATAAACTTCGACATAAAAACGAACCCTTAAAAACTATTTAAACATTTTATGGTCCTGGAACGAAATCATATGGGAACTATAAATAGGCCAATTTTAGTGTTAGGCGAGGTGGGCGTGGCATTTAGTACAGTTCTATTTGCGAGCAGGCCAAAGGATGCTCATTCGGGGCGAGTTACTGTTGTTGTTGTTGTTGTTGTTACACCTGTTCAATTATCTCCAAATTGGTGCTGGGCATTTTTATAGCAGGCCATGGCCCGAAGGTGGACGAGGGGTAGGGGGCGTGCCAGGCGTTGTTATGTTAGAGTTTTTGGCTTGTTTTGTTTTTGTGTGTTTACTTTGTCGTTTGTTGCTGTTCTTTTTGTTGCTTTCGCTGCGGGCATTGACTGAGTTGCTTTAGCTGCTGCGACTCCTCTTTTGTCGTCTCCTCCTGCGCCGCTTCCTTCTGGCAGCTTTTGTGCGTGTTTTGCTTTGCCAACTGCCGCTTCCTTCCGATATGCTTTATTCGCTCTCTCTCTCTCGCTCACTCTGCCCCTTCTTGTTTGGCTGCTCCTCTTTTGCTTTTCAGTTTAGCTTAGCTTTTCTTTTTTTTTTTTTGGTTTTTCTTTATTTCGCAGTGAATTTGGTTGTCTCGCACGTGAGCGGCATAATGAAATTTGTTGTGCCACTCCCTGACTGTCTGTGTGTGTGTGTGTGTATGTGTGTGTGCCCAGCTGCTTAGCCTAATCTTATGTGCGCCTTAAAGAGCTTCGCCTGTCGATTTAATGTGCTGAGAAATCTCAGCTCTTGATTTTTGCTCTTATTTGCATGCCTCCTGCTCCCTGCTCCCTGCTCCCTGCTCCTGCCCCCATCTCCTGCTTCTTAAAAAGGTGACAACACAAAATGTTCCAAATGTGGCAACAAAAACAAGACCCAAAATACGCCACACACAGAGAGTTTCAGGCAGGCCTGTTAAAGTTGAGTCTTTCACACTTTTTTGGCTGAGACTGGCTACGGCTACGGCTCTGGCTCTGGTTGCGGCTGTGGCTCTGTGTGCTGGCTATGCCTTCTGTGCTTTCGAGTGGAAAATTACTTTCGCAGCTTTATGATGCGGAAATTATATGAAAATCATGGCGAATTTGCCTTGCAAGGAATGCCGAGTCGAGTCGAGTCGAGTCGAGTCAAGTTGGGGTCTCCTTCAGTACATATACGCATCTGCATACTACGTACGCGTATGTAGTAGCTGCCTGGCTGCCCTCTATTCCTGCTGATTCTGGCTTGGCTATCAGTGCGGGCCGATCAAGGCGCCAGCAGCCACGCCCAGTCGCATATAATGAAACGGCAAACGGTCGTTGACAACACTGGCAAAGCCACGGAACTAGAGATGGGCGTGACTCTAGCTAGACAGAGCAAGGCACGAGCACGATTAATAAGTGAGATCAAAGATATATATGTATATATATTATCATATTCAGTATTGTATTGACTTAAAAAACATTTATTTATATTTATAAAAATTGTTTTTTTTTTTAAATTATTTTATTATTATTTCTTTGCTTTTTTCATATATCATTTGCATTAATTTATTTATAGAATCTCATATTTATTTTTTATTTTTAATTTTTACATTATATTAAAATATGTATTCTTTAAAATTAAATCGATTTTTGCTGCCTTCTCTTTACTTTAAAAATTGTATATCTATTCTTTTTTTGCTATTTTTTTTATATATGTTTTGAATTAATTTATTATATATAATATATATAATTTGAATTAATTTATTTTAGAATCTTGTTTATTTTTATTTGTACAATATATTTAAAAATATATTTTTTATATTTTTACTTAATTTTCTATTATTTCTATTTTTTTTTCAAATATATTCTGAATTAATTTATTTGAGAATTTTTTAATTTTAGAATGTAGTAATGTAATTTCAATTTATTTATTTTAGAATCTTATGTTTATTTTTTATTTTTTATTTTTTATTTTTTATTTTTTATTTTTTATTTTTACAATATATTTAAAAATATATTTTTTATATTTTTACTTATTTTTCTATTATTTCTATTTTTTTTGCTATTTTTTTTTTTAAATATATTCTGAATTAATTTATTTGAGAATTTTTAATTTTAGAATGTAGAATCTAAACTTTAAAAATTGTAGTTTTGTACATAAAATTGAAAATATTTCGTATTTTTTTTTACATTTTATAATAATGATTAAAAACATTAAAGAAATTTAAATATATTTTTGTAATTTCTTATCATTAAATTTATTAATACTTTATTTTGTTTTTGTTACTTAAAAAAATTTAACATATATATAAAAAATAAAAAATAAAATTCGACATAAACTCAGCTGGCAACAACAACAAATGAATGCCACAAAAATTTGTACATGCCTTGAGTCGTGACACTGGCTCAGCTCTAGCCACATAGCCAGCAGGAGCAGCTGCTGACTGGCTCCATTTCCATTTGAATTAGCATAAAACGACGGCGGCTTACGTCTGTCTATTGTAAGTGAGGGAGTTGGGGGTGGTTGTGTGTGTGTGTGGCGGGGCGGGGGCAATTGGAGGGTAGAGGATGTGGCACATTGGCGCATTGCTGAAGCAGATATCATCTGTTGCTGCTGCTGCTGCTGATGTTGGTGTCGCCACACGGCAGCAACAGCAACGACTTCGTTATCTTTTTAACTTGGCGCTGTCGTTTATTTAACTGATAATGATTTGATGGCAGCTGGCTAAGCTTTCGACAAAGCCACGCCCCCACACCCACGGCCGCCTTCGTGCCATTTGCTGAGGTCAATTACACGCTTTCGATTAAATTTGCCATGGTTCGTTGTTGTTGCTGTTGTTGTTGGGTGTTGACAAGGAACAGCTGCCCGAGCTGCCAGCTACAACTATGTGGGAAGTCACAGAAAGAGAGAGCGAGTGAGAAGGAGCGTGAGGGTGGGAGGGTGGTAGGGTGGCTAGGGAAGGCTCCTTCTCCCACCCGCCCACACATGCCTAGGTATGTGGCACAAATAAAGTTGAATTATTATTTTTCTTTATGCTTGGGATGGAGGCGTGGCGGTTGCTTGGCAGGGGGCGTGGCACGTGCTTGGCATGCTCAAGTGTTACCATTGCCACTGCCATTGCATATCCGCATCGTTAGCCCCATGGAAGCGGAGCGCACAGCCTCTGGAACAGCCACTGGAATGACACGCAAAGCTCTTTAGGAATCTGGGTCTTAGATTAAACGGACCTTTTACCAAATGCCAATACAATTCGGTTAAAAAAGGGCATGAAAAGGTGCTCAAATATATTTTTTATCACAAATTCCTAAATGTTTACAAAAAATTGATGGCTTCGCTCTTAGCGTTGGCGTCCAAAGTATTTGCGTTTCTTTCAAATCAAATATTGATTTCAGATACAGTTATTAAAATTTATGAAATTTAAATTTGTCAATTGGTCAGCTTATCAGTTACTCAATCAGCTAGTAACTCACTCAGTCAGTCAATCAATCTAGCAGTTAGTTAGTCAATCAATCCATCCATTGCTCAGCTCACTCAATTCATCAAACAGTCAATCAGACATTCAGTCAAACTCAAACAAACAGTCAATCAGTTCGTTAGTAAATTAATTAGTTAGTTAGGCAATCAGTCAATCAATCGCTGGCGTAGTCTGTCCTTGATTGAGCCAATCAATTAGTCAGTTTTTAGTTTATATAATTAATCATATTCAGTAAGTCATGTTCAGCCTTTAAGTTACTTAGTGAGTCAATCAAATAATTAGTCAACCAGTCAGTCAGTCAGTCAATCAATCAATCAGTCACTCAGTCTAGTTCAGTCTAGTCCACAAGATTCAGCAGAATTGTTCACATCAATAGCATAAGGTTTCTTCTACATGAGAGTATATATATTAGATAATATACGCCGTTGCAATGTCTAAAAAATCTCATGCTCATGCCTCAAACACAGTCAATCAATCAGTCAATCATTGAGAATAAACAATTTGTTCATATAAAAAATAAAAATATGCAAATTTTACACAGATCAGTTAGACATATCTGAGATTGTTTTTGTGTCATTAAATGAAGTTAATCTTCCTAAAATAATATCAATCGATCAATCAAGAAAATTTCTGTTAACTTTACTTTGCTATCAACTAGCACCTTCTTTGAGTTCCACTTCCACTTCGATTTGCAGTCAATCAATCAGTCAGCCAGCCGTATCGAAACTCATAGGGGTATATCAAATTTGTATGACACACGAGGTAAAGCCCTATAAGTGAGTTAGGAGTTGGCTTGAGGGTAATTTTTAATGCGTGTTTGGCAATTAGAAAAACATGACCAACGATTGAAAAGGTGATTTGAAGGTAATTCAATACAAGTCAAGCTAATTCTGGTGAACTCGAAGTCGAATCGAAGCCTTAGAGTGCTGCCGACAGTCGATGGGGGATTGATGATGATTGAGTGATGTTTATTCAAGCAGTGCTGAGGCCACTTCTGGAGTTGAGAGGCCAGTTAGAAAGATTGATAATGATTGAGCAGACAATTCCTATTGTTAAAAGAGAGTGTAAATGATAGACTGCAGATAAATGAAGGTAAATTTTATTCGGTGCAAGTCATAGACTGATTGATAGAATTTAATTGGTATATGGAAAGGTATTCGCTCTCCAAAATTTGAGCCAAATTGCCAAGTATGAGGTGGAATCCAGGAAGAGCAGCCTACAGCCATTGAGCAACATACATTTCCGACTCTGGGAAATTGGGAATAGTGTGAAATCAATGTGGCTTGCTGATGATTGAAGATCAATTTTATTCTTCCGCCCATTGCTGAGCCACCTTGCCGAACATATAGAAGAAGAAAGCTGTGCCGCAGACAATCAAATCTTCGCCCGTTTCCTCATTCGTGGTATCCATGATCACCGGATAAAACCTGATCACAAGCATGGTCAAGGTCATGCGCATGTAAATGAAGTTTTTCTCCCTGACAGATAGAAACCCGAGTGATACGATATTTCCCAGCATGGAGAGATTTCGTGCCGACTCAGTCCACTCACAATCCTTGCGATGATTCACCATCGAACAATACAAATCGAGCAGCAGAGGCACCACGAAAATGCCATGCGCCAAGACAACTGGGCCCACGCCAAGCGAATGCGCATACAGCTCCATGTTCACCAGTGGCAGGGGCACGAGCTCCAACATGCCTTGGGTAACATTTTTCACCATGAGCAGTTCAGGCTCGCTTCCCCGCTGCCGCTGGCTCGCACTTCCACCTGCAGGGCCAAAAGCGACTCGCAGTAGGCCCACCACAGCAGCGACTCCGCCCACCGCACAGGCGCCCATGGCGAAGGGCTGCTTCTCCAGGCCCAGATTGAGGGCTGCCAAACAGGATGTTGTCAAGAGAACACTGTTGTAAAGGAACCGTAGCCCACGGCTCGAGATGGGTTCGCTCATAACGAGCGAGCTACATAAATAATTTTGAATAACTAAGTTTCAATCTGATCGGTACCTGAAAGGTAATCAGACTAAATATTTTCAGTTCTTACAAGAGGGAAGAACCATTATGAAATATACAGACATAGCTGCTTCTTCTCTTCCTTCTTCTCTTCCTTCTTCTCTTCCTTCTTCTCGTCTTCCCGTCTCTAGTCTCTAGTCTCTAGTCTCTAGTCTCTAGTCTCTAGTGTCTAGTCTCTAGTCTCTAGTCTCTAGTCTCTAGTCTCTAGTCTCTAGTCTCTAGTCTCTAGTCTCTAGTCTCTAGTCTCTAGTCTCTAGTCTCTAGTCTCTAGTCTCTAGTCTCTAGTCTCTCGTCTCTCGTCTCTAGTCTCTAGTCTCTAGTCTCTAGTCTCTAGTCTCTAGTCTCTAGTCTCTAGTCTCTAGTCTCTAGTCTCTAGTCTCTAGTCTCTAGTCTCTAGTCTCTAGTCTCTAGTCTCTAGTCTCTAGTCTCTAGTCTCTCGTCTCTAGTCTCTAGTCTCTAGTCTCTAGTCTCTAGTCTCTAGTCTCTAGTCTCTAGTCTCTAGTCTCTAGTCTCTAGTCTCTAGTCTCTAGTCTCTAGTCTCTAGTCTCTAGTCTCTAGTCTCTAGTCTCTAGTCTCTAGTCTCTAGTCTCTAGTCTCTAGTCTCTAGTCTCTAGTCTCTAGTCTCTAGTCTGTCGTCTCTCGTCTCTAGTCTCTAGTCTCTAGTCTCTAGTCTCTAGTCTCTAGAGTCTGGTCTCTTCTCTGAGTATTCATAGTTAACTGACTTTTAGTATGACTTCTAATTGGAAAATTTGTAATATGCATAGAGCTAATGAGGCACAGACATAGTTAGACCTGAAAAAGCAAATATATTCTATATATATATACATATATACATATATAACTTTATAAAATCTGTGGTCTGCGCTGGATGCGAGCTTGTTAACAATATCCGAATGTCTGGATTAACTCGCACGCTGCCAAATGACAAACTCTAATTGCAAGTGGAACATATATTTTAATGAGTATATACAGACAGATACACATATATATATATATATATATATATATTTGCATGTATATAGTTGGTGTGCATATTTAAGTCCCTTGGATAGCTTCACTCTCCAGGAAAAGTTCCGCCCGCGTCGCTTTATTCTACTTGACGATGTGAAGTGAGTGTGAATATAATTTTTTAGGTCACGTCAAAGCAACGTCCAACAGCTAAATACATACATATATACACATAAATATAAAAAAACAGTTGGTAGTACAGGTAAAAAGGGGAAAAATATGGTTCGAATCCTTTTGGCGTCCTGTTTGAAGGGAAATTGCAGTCAACATTTATTTCCGCAGCTTGATGAAAAATTCGAAAATAATTTGCGAGCCATAATTAAAAGGCGACAGGTCCAGTAGTAGTTGTAGTTGTTGTTGTCCTGCCAAAGGACCTGGCACTTGCCTGCCACGCCTCTGCAGCCCCTTCGCCAAGCACTCGTGCAGCCTCTAGGGTCATAAACAATCCCGGCATAGACGCGTTTTTCGATTTTCGCCTCAATTGGCAACATATGGCGAGCAGACTTCGAACGGGGTGCCGGGGCGGGCAGCCTCCTTTGCTCTGTGCGTGGGCGTGGCAGCATTTGCATTTGCGACTGCGAATTGCGAATATTTTTTTCTTTTAAAGTTTTGCCGTGATAAGAGGGTTGTACAAAAGAAATTGCGACGTTTGCCAGCGCGACACGAAAAAGGCGGCAGACAAAAGGCGAAGTCGAAGAAAAATCGCTGCGGGGTGCAAGTCAAGGGAAGTGGCTGGCTGGGGGTAGCCTTTTCATGGGGGTGAGTGTGTGTGTGTGTGTGAAGTGGAAGCTCTACTTAGTCGTAGTCGCATTGTTGCGTGGCATTTGCCAGAAGGTGCCAACACAATTTTATTGCGCCAAATACTCTAACCAAATGGCTTGGGTAACTATGTTAGGCGCTTGGCAAATTTTTATGAAATTGCAATATATAATATATATATATTAGATATATATTTCTAATAAAGCGCTTTATAATCTAGACAATAGTCTATAGCTGAAGTAAAAATATGAGCACTGACCTCATTCGATTGGGATTTCTTTGGCAAAGATACAAACATACAATTCTCAAATGGTTACAGCTTAGCTAGAGTAGCAACATGAAGATGAACCATGTGTAATGTCTCTCATGGAACTTTTACCACATAACGTGTTAGCAAGTAAGTCTTAACAGCTTAACAGAGCATAAGTTAGATAAAATATATTATAGATTCTTCCTTAGTTGCCAATATCCATAACATTTTCAAGAAACTGACTTAAAACGATTTCAAGCACTTGTTATATGATATAAATATCAACAAAAGCTGCACTAAGTTCAATGACTTGTCTTCGGGTATTTACTAGTTGTGCACTCCCTGCTATATTACTCCAACTTCGAACTAGTTCGACTGTCATAAAAGTCACAATTCGTTTAAAACTTAACTCAAGAGCATTTGCCAGTTCGGCTGGACGCAAAAAAAGATTCGTAACTTCTGCGAGCTTGTTTTATTGCTCAAGCCCCCAAGCTCTATTTGCTTAGAGAGGGTGGCAGTGGAACTTTGATATATATATATCTATCTATAAAATGTCAACGTATTTTTTTTTCGACCAACTGTGACGCGAATGCCGCCCACCGCCCACCGCCCGATAACAATGCAATAAAACCAGATCTTGATTTGTTTTATATTATAAAAAATAATTAGTCTGTATTCAGCGTCGAAGTCGACGAATCATCATATATATGATATTGTATATATAGTATATATGTAATATTCATCTTGTTTCATTAACAAGGGAGGACTGGGTGAGGGGGAGTGGTGTATGTGTGTGGGTTGATTAAAGTATAGCCTTTTGTTTTAGTTTTGGGTGATTACTACGCTTGGATAATTGGAATAATACGAAATATATAATAATGCAATACAATTAGTTGATTCTCGCGTTTGTTAATTAATTCAATAAGTTTATGTTTTTTATTTATGTTTTTTTTTTTAGCTTTTTTCAATATTTTTTATGGATGAATGCGACTAAAAAGGCAATGAAGGAATGTGATTTTCTTTTCATATTTTTTTTAATGGAAATAAATTATGTGCGATGCGAAAAATTTAGCTATTCATGTGAAAAATTGTGTGTTGCATGCTTTGAGGCGTGCGTCTCTTAATGCTGCTTCGCTTCCAGTTGCATGCCTTACATATATATAATATTTATGTATATATATATATTTGTATGCGTTTATTAATATTTATTTTATTTTTAAATAGCTTCATAAAATTTGCATCTCATATATAATATCTCTGATAAATATATATATATATACGATATATATATATATCTTTTTTTTTTGGAATTTTTCTTATTTTTTTTCTTGTTTTTTTGTTTTTGTAACATAGTTGATTTAGGCAAAAATGGCAACAAAATTGTATGTTTAACATTTGTCTACTTGGTTGTTCTTCTTCTTCACGGCTGTTGTTGTCCTTGTCTTACACGATTTGTTTTTAGTAGATGTATAACTTTAGCTAACTAACAATTAATTTAAACATTTTTGTTTTTCTCTTCATTTTCTTGTCCCTTTTCACTTTTGTAACTTATAATTGGCAATAAAGTGTTTGAATAAGCAAACATTTAACATTTAGCATACAATTTATCATCTTCTTCTTCTTCTTGTGCTTCGATAAATCAAACTCATAAATAACTGAATAATAAATAGCTATGTTATAATGTATAATATATATATATATGATATATGTATATAAATGTATCTCTGCATTGTTTTTTTTTTTTGGTTTTTTCTTGTAAAGTTGTAGTGATTGTGGCCTGATTAAGTACATATGTTTATGTTATTTATATAGCGGCAGCAGGGGTAGTCAGGATGTAGAAAAATTCATTTTCAATTATTGGCAAGTGTGACTCACATTACTAGAGGTAATCGTATCTAATATACTCATAAAGCAATGCTAAACAAAGAAAATATATTGAAAAATTTTAGAAGTCATTATTAATTTTTTGACATAGCAAGGATTGTCTTGCTATGTTAAATATTAAATTAAATATATATATTCTTAGCTCAAAGTTTCTTGAGAGCTTGCATATATTTTTTATTTATTTTTTATAAAGGTCTACCCTTGTAAAAATAAAAAAAATAAAAGAAAATTGTTTGTTAAATTTAAATTTCTCTCATAAAGGGCAGATTTGCAGACTAAAAATAAAATAAATGTTTACTTTATTTTCTAAATATCATTTAGGAACTTGGCAAATGCGCTTGAAATTTATAGTTTTATTTTATTTATTTTTTTTTATGGAGACTACCCTTTATAGTAAAATAATTGTATAAGTGAAAATATGACAAAAAAATAAATAAAAATAATAATATAGTAAAATAATTGTATAAGTGAAAATATGACAAAAAAAATAAATAAAACTAAGCTTAATAAAAACAACAGATTAAATAAAAAAAAAAAAAATATATATATATATATATATATATATATATATATATATATATATATATATATATATATATATATATATATATATATATATCCGAATTATACCTCTAGTATAATATATATATAATCTTCATTTATATTTTTATTTCATTAAAAGCACTGACAGTCTGTGCCTTAAATAAAATAGCAGTTGTATTCATGCATCTCAGTTAAATATATGTTTTTGCCACTTACTCAACTCTCATTAAGATTTTAAATTAAAAAGTTTTAAATATTGTGCAACCTTCCATTTTTTCAATTTTCCTGCCATCATGACTACCCCTAATGCTTAATATTCTCATTATGCTAGCTGGCAACTTAAAATATTTAAAGCCTCGTTTGAACTTATGCGTGTATTAGTGAGTGAGTGAGTGAGTCAGTGAGTGAGTGTGTGTGAGTGTGTGTGTGAGTGTGTGTGTGTTAATGGCGCCTTTCTTTATAGCATAGGTATAATTAGGTAGTTGGGTTAGATTAGATTAGGTTTTTCATCTTCTTTCTCCTCTTCTGCTTCTTCTTGCTCTTCTT